GGCCTTGTTGTTGTATTTCAACTGCAACTTGGCTAATCTATCACAACAAGACATTCCGAGCCTAAAACTTCTCCCATGTTTTAAATCTGTCAGTGGGAAATATATCAGCATTGCCAACACTGTTTCAAACTATGTTCTTGCTAAAGACATACCTGCTGCAGACATAGACAAGTGGGCACATAATTCTTCATATGGCTTTCTTGTTGACAACCCACAGCTTAAGGAACTATATTCCTTTTTGGGCTGCACACCAATCGATGACCTAGAAATTTATCTTCAGCATTTGTTGCCAAAGTTTGAAAACTTGACTTACAGTGCAAAAGTGGAGCACATTATCCATTTAAAAGAGCGGCTCATGTGTATTGATGAGTCTACTGAAGTGAAAGACCAGCTCTATGAAAAGTTGGAAGGACTGTCATTTATTTATGATAGTTCCACTCGTCTTAGACAAGCCAAGTTTTTCTTTGACAAGACAGTGGAAGTCTTTGAAGTTATGCTTCCTCAAAAGTCCTTCATTCCAAATGACTTTTTCAGGAAGGTGGAACAGATTTCAAAGCCAAAAAATGGAGCACTTCAGTTAACATCATGGATCACGTTTCTGCGGATAATTGGCCTTAAACATGAAGTTTCACAGCAGCAGATTCTCCAGTTTGCTAAAGAAATTAGCATCAAGTCCCAAACTGAGAACTGGGCCAAAGAAAAGGTTCAAACCACAGTTGATGTTCTTCTAAACCACATTTTTAAAGATAGAGTTGATCTATTCCAAGGCAGTTTTCTTAAAGAGCTGTCAATGATCCCATTCCTCTGTCCTGAGAGAGCCCCAAAAGAACTGGTTAGACTTCACCCTCAGTACCAAGAGGTGGGTGGTACACTTCCTCTCATTCGCTTCAGTGGGTCTCAAGTCAATCCTAAATTCAAGCAAACAGATATTATTAACTTGCTCTGGACATCGTGCCCGATTTTACCTGAAAAAGCAACACCGTCAAGTATAAACGATCAAAAAGGGAACACCCTTAGTGGGCAGGAACAGCTTGACCAAATACTCAACACGCTGGGTGTAAACCTTGAGCCACCATTGGAAAAAGTGATCATCAATTGTAAGAACATTTGTAGCATTTCTAGTCCAGATGATGAAATGGTGAAAACCCGGAACAAAATCTTAAGATCAACTTACGAGTTCCTCAGTGCAGATAAAAGAGATTTCCGCTACCTGCTTCGTGGAGTCCCTTTTGTCATTGTTGAAGATGGTTGGAAATTACTGAAACCGGAAGAAGTAGTAATTAATTTGGACAATGAATCCGACTTCAAGCCCTACTTGTATAAATTACCCTTAGAGCTAGGGACCTTTCATCAGCTGTTCAAACTTCTTGGCACTGAAGATGTTGTATCAACCAAACAGTACGTGGAAGTACTTGGGCGCATTTACAGAAGTTCAGAAGGCAAACAGCTTGACCCAAATGAAATGAGAACTGTTAAAAGGGCTGTGTCAGGACTGTTCAAATCTCTACATAACGATCCAGTGGAAATCCGCAAAGACCTAGAGAATCTCCGGGACCTAATATTTTATATGCCCAGTCATGATGGACGATTAGTCAAGTCCAATGGCTTAGTGTTTGACGATGCTCCACATTACAAAAGCAGAATTCAGGGAAATGTGGGTGTCCAGATGCTAGTAGACTTGAGCCAGTGCTACCTAGGCAAAGACTATGCTTTCCACACCAAGCTAATAATGCTGCTTCCACAGAAACTAAGACCACGATTACTAAGCAGTATCCTTGAAGAACAACTTGATGAAGACTCTCCAAAGATGTGCCAGTTTGGTGCGCTCTGTTCTCTCCAAGGCCGCCTGCAGCTGTTGCTCTCATCTGAGCAGTTCATCACAGGATTGATCCGAATAATGAAACATGAAAATGAGAACGCTTACTTAGTGAATGAGGAAAAAGCTTTGCGTCTCTGCAAAGCACTGAGTGAAGCACTAAAAGTGTCTTGTTTTGAGAAACTCCAGACGACATTGAGAGTTAAAGGTTGCACACCTATCCCTCACAGCCGCAGTGAAACGTTAGCATTCTTAAAAAGATATGGCACATCTGTCATTCATCTTTACATCCAGCATTCAGACAGTAAAGACATTAATTTTCTGCTTGCACTTGCTATGACACTAAAGTCTGCTACAGACAATTTGATTTCAGACACTTCCTATTTGATTGCCATGTTAGGGTGCAATGATATTTATCGAATCACAGAGAAGTTGGACAATCTTGGAGTGAAGTATGATTCAACTGAGCCTTCAAAACTGGAACTGCCACTTCCAGGAACCCCCATACCAGCAGAGATCCACCACACTTTACTGATGGATCCAATGAATGTGTTCTATCCAGGAGAATATGTGGGCTACCTGGTAGATTCAGAAGGAGGAGACATTTACGGGTCATATCAGCCAACCTACACATATGCCATCATTGTGCAGGAAGTAGAAAAAGAAGAAGAGGAAAACAGTACCATTCTTGGAAAGTGTTTTCAGATTGATATTGGTTATAGTGAGTATAAAATTGTCAGCTCTCTTGACCTGTACAAATTCTCAAGACAAGATGAAAACAGTCAAGTAAGAGACACCAGTTCCCCATCAACACCAACAAGTCCCGACATTCGCTCGTCAACGCTTCGAATGATGCCTCCAATATTTACAGGCAAGGAGAACCTCAGGCCCCCACCCCAAAAACAGTCACCAAAAAAGATCAAACTTCATACATTGCCTGAGATTCTCAAAGAAGTGACCTTAGTTATTGAGCAGGCATGGAAGCTCGCAGAAACAGAGAGAAAAAAGATCATCCGCCGCCTGTATCTCAAATGGCATCCAGACAAAAACGCAGAGAATCTTGATGTTGCTACAGAGGTCTTCAAGCACCTACAAAATGAGATTAGTCGAATGGAAAAGCAGTCTTTGGCAGATCAACAAAACACTGACAGAACCTCTAGAAGATCCTATTCCTCATCATCCACACGCTTTCAGTCAGATAAGTTCTCCTATCAACGATATTACTCCACATGGAACCAAGAAGCAACCAGCCATCAATCGGAAAGACAAACTTTCAGGGAGCATAACCCCAGCTACGCAGGCTCCTCCCACTCACATCGCTTCTTTGTACCCCCAACTTTCAAGACAGTAGGAAACCCAGTGGAAGCCCGGCGATGGCTGAGGCAAGCTAGAGCCAACTACTCTGCTGCTCGCAATGATCTCCATAAAAATGCCAATGAGTGGGTGTGTTTTAAATGCTATCTAGCAACAAAACTGGCCCTAATAGCAGCAGACTATGCCGTGAGAGGGAAGTCCGATAAAGATGTGAAGCCCACAGCACTGGCGCAGAAGGTCGAGGAATACAACTCCCAGTTAGCAGGACTTGCCAATGACGTCCAGATCTTGGATGGTTATGGGGTGGACAGCCTCAGAACTCGCTACCCGGACCTCCTGCCTTTTCCTCAGATACCCAATGACCGATTCACGTCTGAAGTAGCAATGAGAGTGATGGAGTGTACAGCACGGATCATTATAAAGCTTGAAACTTTTGTGCAACAAAAAGTATAATAGTTTGTAACTTGGCAATCGTCTAGCCTTTAAAAGATGCATTAATTTTGTAGAAAAAGAATAGTTATTTAAGTGATCCACTAAAACCAGCTATTAATTCACTTCACTTCCCTGGTTAGAGAGGCAAACAAGAGCAATGAAGAGATGGTTCTAAAAATATTGGGACCATTAAATCTATATTTTGAAACACAAGTCACCAAAGCAAAGTTTTACACAGGATGTTTGTTCTAAATTTGGTGTGATTGGTCATTATTCAGTTAATTTGGGTCTCTGGGTAATTTTGGTCCTCCCAGACAAAGGGGTTACTGTTTGAACAACCCTATTAATATCTTTTAGGAGTTTGTCTCTATAAATGTATCCTGTCTGCTTCTCTAATTTTTCCAAAATAATAGATTAAAAGCTGAATGCAAACCCTTACAGGACTATGGAAAGCAATAGCATTTTTAAAGTTCGACAAACACTACAGCTGACAGGCCTTGGTCCAGCTGTGACTCATGGTGCAGTGATACGTGATGCACAGGGCTTCATTGAGAAATAGACTGAATCATGTAGATCTGCTCTTAAGACAATGGCTGTACATAGAAATGCCGAGCAATATGATTTCTTTACCAAAGTCATGTTTATTTTATGTGTTCAATCTTTTGTGTAAAACTGAAAATATATGCTGCTTTTTTACTTTCAATTTTTATATGAAATTATTTTCTTGCAACTGAAATTGCTTTAACAATGCTCAAAATGGGAATTAAAGGAAAATGAAGAATGGGAGTGCAATGCAGTGTACAAGTTATCTCACAATGCAATCACTGTACATTTTATTTGTATTTTTACTGTTCATTTAATTTTGTAACTGTTGATTATCAACAGCAAGCACTTTTTAAAATTTGCCACTGGTTCACTTATGTTTTAAAGGTGTGAAAAGCCAAAACTGTGAATGTATCCAGTTCTTATTTATGAATGTTTTATTTTGTTTGTTGATGCATCTCTCAATACCATATTAACAGATTTACAGGAATAAACCCATGTTTAGTGCAATTTGCCTATAATACTGTATTGCTTTTGTGAATCCTTTTTATTAAAGGGCTTTGTTTTCATACATTCTTATACCATGTTACACAATTAACTGTATCTGAAATGTGCTGAAATGTGCATTGTGACATTACTCCTTCTATGAGGGGGCTTACCTGCGTCAAACTGTAAACGAGAGAACTGTCACAACAATATGTAGTGTATGGACACTGTTGCCTTGGCCAAATAAATGAACCTGAAGGAAAAGTGTGTGTATTACTGTAGAATGAACCATTTCAATCTTTCATTTTAGATTGAAGTGGTAGTCGTAGTAATGAATTTTCACCACTAGAGTGCGCAAGAACACCGTTGACTTGATTCCAACCTGATAGGGACAGAGACAGAGACAATACAATAATACTAATGTTTAATTTCTGTACAAATTTAATAAATAAGCAACTTTATCAAATTGTACAAGTGACTATAATCAGTAAAAACTGAACATATAACTTAATGGTGACACATAAACCTTTACCCTTGTAAACAATAGTTCCTTTTTAATTCAGACAGGAGAATTATGTTGTTTTGGTTCAATTATTTCTGGCATGTTTACATGCTCACACCAGGTTTAAAGCCACAGACAAAAGTCTTTATTTTAAAGCTTGTCAGCTGTTAAGTGTTGGTTCTACAAACAAATGTGCAGAATGCTGGAGAAACAGACAACAAAAGCAAATATAATCTTCTCAAGTAAAAACATGACATGCATAATAAACATATCACACCAAGGGCTTTAGAACTACAAACCAAAATAAATATTTATTTACATTTCTATTTTCAAGCCCTTCTTCACTGCTATCATTTATTGCACTACAATAATATTGCATAGGATGTAAGCTGTAAACCAGCTCCTCATTGCCCAGCCATGGTTTCATGTTTTACAAAAGTAACACATTAGTTGCCAATTTCTTTCGCGAAGAATAGTTAAAAATCCACAGATGCCCTTAAAAGAATGCTTCCCTCAACATTCCCAGCTAGTTGCCAGCAGGCACTTTCTGATCGAGTCTTAAAATGCCAGTGGCGATTTTGCACCTCAAGTAACCGTAGAAACCATTGTGCTTGTTTCTTCACTGGAGATGGACCTTCGGAGACATTGATTATCTGTCCTAGTGCATTCAGCAGTCCTGGTTCTCACTGCACGTGGAGGTGACCCCGGCCTTGGACAGGAAGAGCTTGCCGCTGGGACACACACACACCTCAAAGAGCCCCTGTGCGTTCCCAGAAACCCCTCCTGAGCTCAGGGGCAGACGGGGCATGCGCACAGTCTCTGCATCCAGGACCAGCTGTGTGCAGACAAAGGGCATTTAAAGGAGGGAGACTAATACACTACAATCTCAAATATGGAAACTTGTCACAATTGAATTAATCTTTTTCTCTTTTTTAGCAATTAGAACGGCTGTAATGGAATAAATGCAAAATAGAAATGTTTCATATCACACTGTGGAACATTTCAGGAAAAGCAATAGAAAGTCCATGGAGAAGCAGGTAGCAGACCCTCCATCAAAAATGTATAACATAATGCACCTTCAAGATTAAGATGATTTAAATAAGGTTACATATATCCTAATTCATAATGCAAATGTTAAGTAATTAATATTATACTATAATTTAATTTAGTAACTCTCATGTATTTACTTGCACTCTTAGTCTTACAAAGTAGCAGCAAATCTTTGTTTTGGCTTTCAAAACCACAAAGGGAAAAAATAACATTCAGTAGCTGTAGATGTGGTTGGAAAATCCAGTTGGAGCCTGGAAAACTTTGGTATTCTGAAAACGCAGCAAGACCTTGTAAAACCCCCTTTCCATGTTCAAGCATGTGACATTAGAATCGACAGAGTCCATTTTGTGCTTCAGCCACGACCAGCCCATAAAGGAAATGATAACTTCAAATGTAATATCTAATGTCCACACACTGAGAGGTGAGTCACGGGGTTTGTAAGCTACAATTAGTCACGCCAACTTTAGGGCATCTATCCTTAGCACTTCAAAGCAAATCCCTGGAACTATAAATAATAAAAAACAGTAGGGACAGTCAGATATGGATATTCTGCTGAAATTATAGCTCATTTCATAAACTAACTTTGTTAACAAAATGTATTTCCTGGACATAATAACATTTCCTGTACTTTTTTATGATTGCCCTTCTACTTTTATTAGAAAAAGAAAAAAAATCTGTAGAAAAAGACTGCTCTATATTGGGAAATTTTACTGATATGTCCCATACTAAAGCATATCGCCCATCTTGAAAAATTGGTCCAGTCTAGGAAATGCATAATAATAATCCAACTAAAGCCAACTATAAACATGTACAAAGCCTAAACCCAACAGCCAAGAAGAAAAAAACTCATATCGACGGTTTATTACAAAGAAAACTTGCTCTGCTCTTGCTCTTGTAGCACCCAGGTGTGACTTGTTTACAGAGATTACAGAAGCTGCATTTTTTGGAAAAGCACAAATCCCTCAGGAAGAATAAAGAAAAAGAAGGAAAAAAGCAGGCAGAGGCTTAGACTGTGTTTGGTAGATTTCTGGCAGGAGCTGTGTTTTGTTTGCCTCACCAGCCCCAGAGTGGACTCCAGGAGCACGTCCATGTTGGAGGCTGCCTCGATGTTCCCGGCCTGGGCTTTCAGGTGCACCCCCTTCGGAGCGTCCATGCTGAGGGAGCGGGTGGGAGACTCCAGCCTGAAACATAATCGGCAAGTGCACGATGGTTTATGAGCGAATGTGGAAAGAGAAATATGTGTAATTTAAAAAGGATTTGCATATATATGTCTAATCCCATGATTGCTTTTAACTCTGCTTCTCATTTATTACACCCAGCAGTGCTCCAGTTATTTATAGGAAAACATAAGAACTAAAAAAACAATTGTGGCCCTTTGCTTACTTTTATAATTAATTATACAAGTAATTATTATTATGGTATGGCCCAGACTCCAAGGACCAGTCTCCATGATACTGAGCTAGTCTTGGTCAAGAGTACCTTAGCTGGAGTTAATGGGGAAAACAGGAGCCCAGAGGAAATCTACCCAAATCCGAAAAAAAAAAAAAAAAAAATTCTGCATTATTTATCTCCAAAACCAAAATGAAAAAATTGAATAACGATAAATTTTTTCTGTTTAAATGAATAATGGAAAAAATGGATAACGGCCGTTTCCTGTTTCCATAATTTAAACTACAATGCCGGACTTTTGCGCTGCGTATGTACTGAACCAGGACTAAACCAGGACTAAAACAGGACTAAAACAGGTCTAAAGCAGGTCTAAAGCAGGTCTAAAGCAGGACTGAACCAGGACTGAGTGTTGGGACGGGCCCGGAGGTGCGCCCGCGAAGACTGTCGGGTGATCAGGACTGAGATCAAGACTGGGACTGAGACCGGGACCAGACCGGGACCAGACCAGGACTGAGACCGGTTTAATCCTGATTCAGTCCTGGTTTAATTCCAGTTCGGTCCTGGTTTAGACCCGTTTTAAACACAAAATCGAAAACTAAAAAAACAAATTGTTATCAGTTTTTTCTTTTTGGTTTTGGAGACAAATAATAAAGAAAAAGATTGTTTTTTTGTTTTCTTATTTTTGGTTTTATATTTAAACACGAATGAAAGAATGATACATGGATTCACACAGACACAGGGAGAAACATGCAGACCCCGAACCTCCTTGCTGTGAAGCCTGAGTGCAGGCCACTCAGCCATTGTGACACCAAACATGTTTTATTACTAAACTATTTAAAATGAACATTGTTTGAACAAACTGTAAAATAATGATCCAAGTATGTTGCAGTGCTATTAAATACCCAACATGTCTTCTGACCTGAGATCTTTCAGTGGCTCCGACCTCAGCAGAGGCACCTCCACCGAGTGCTGGAAGAGCGCCCCCTCAGGCCCTAAAGAGAAAAACAACCATCAGAAGACTTGAGCTTTTCATTGACACCATCATCTCTCATGTTCTGTTTAGATTTAGCTCCCATGTCTGACAGTAGTGGTGCTGAATTAGTCATACTATCTAAACCAGACATGTCAAACTCAGGCCTGGGGGCTAAATTTGGCCCTTGATATAATTATATTTGGCCCACAAGATCATATCCAATATGTATTAGAGCTGGCCCACAGGCAACAGATTTTATATTTTGCTTGTTCTTGATTCAATGTTTAAGCAAAACTATTATTAAACATTTATTTTAATAAGAAAAGGTTTAAAGTTACATATCTTGAAAGAAGGGAAAACATGTAGATGTTGTTGAAAATGTTATATAAATAAATATTTTGTTTGGCCCATGACTTAGTCCCAGTTTTAATTTTGGGCCTCTGTGAATTTGAGTTTGACACCCCTGCTCTAAAACATGCCAAAAGACAATTGTTAAAGGAACTGTATGTGGCCTGTGTGCTTACAGTTTTTAATTATTAATATAATGTAATGATATTTATATTTATTTATTTGTATTTAGTCTCTATATAAAAGCCTTCACTCACCATATTTCAACTTTTATTTGATTAAAAATGTTCAGTGTACAATAGAAATATCTGACTAATCGATTACTGAACTAATCTTTTAGCTGCAGCCCAAGGCCAATACCAACATCAATTCATTTTATTTTCAAAAGTAGCGACCAGAATCAGATACAACAGACATTACATGATAGGAGTGCTCCCTGTGGTAATATTTCTAAACTCTGCCCCAGTGTGATTGTTCTACGGGCTGCTGGAACAATTTATCATTTGAAGGAATTTAGACAAGCGGCCCTGGTGCTCCTGCCCACAGCTCCAGCAGATCAGATGACCCCGGGTGCGATGAAGCTATCAGCCCCACGGCCTTCACCATTCATCAGGATGCCCAGTGTGGAGCCCCTACCCCCGTCCACGCTCTGATACTGGGGCTGGAGGGCACCACTACACCACATTCATCCTCAGACAGAATGTGATTTTCGGTCTGTTTTGAAATGGTACAGTGAAGAAACAACAAGCATCTCTCATGGCAAGTTTGACAATTTATGATCAAGTGAGCTGCATTGTTTGACTTGTGGGGTAAAATTCCACATAATTTAGAATATTATAAACTCTTGAATATGAATTATTACACCACAAATGTTTAATTCAGATAGATCATGTTAATTTCAGTAGTTTTGTTTGTAGGTTCATTTTCAGTATTACAAGACATTTTGATGACTTGTCTGCTTTATACTTGGAGTCTGTAGCTGTGGTGGATCATTATGTTATGTTTTGGACACTAAATTGGATCACAATATTGATCTAAAACAACTTAATAAAGAAACGAGTCTGTGAGTCTGCTGACTTCTGGCTAGAAACTGCAGAGCTGAATTAAGCCTTTAGGTCATGCTGACGGCCTTGACTATGGAAATCTGTAGATCGTGGTAGTAAGCGTTTTTTTATATTTTAAATTTTTTTATTTGCTGAATCCTACATGTGTGACCACTTTAAAAATAAAGAGCAGTGGGTGAAAATGAGAATTTTTAGAGTATTGATACCTAGATTGATGATAAAGATTACTCAAAGTTGCATGAATCAATCTAAATACAACTTGATTAGGAAGAAAACAACATTATTAAGCTCTTGAATACAGTAAATACGATTGGGCAAAAAAATGCTAGAAAATATAGATCCATCAAGTATAAAATTTAAAGAGTCCATATTATGCTGTGTTTTAACCTTATACTTAGACAAATTTTATTGATCCACAAAGGAATTTATTTGGACACAGCAGCTCAAACATCACATTACAATAACAAAGAGAAAAAATATCAATGGTAATAATTCTAAATAAGTAACAAAAAAGAAAAAGAGACTGGTGTCAAATAAGGTATAATTATATAAACGTATATGTACAAGTCAAAATAAAATAGATAAATTAATACAAGTAATTTTTATTTTTTTTTTTTTAAAGGCAAAGGAGAAAATCAATTTGTGAACTTGACAATGTTTATTTGGTTGAATACGTTTCGCAGCTCATCCAAGTTGCTTCTTTAGCTGAAGAAGAACTGAAGAACTGAAGAAGCAGCTTGGATGAGCTTGTATGTTGATACTTGTATGTATATGTTACCATATAAATACATTACATAGGTTTAGTTCTATTGTGGATTTTCAGTTTATTCTAAAGATGTGCATAACACTGGACCAGGATGTAAAAGTTTATTTATGTAACATATTTGTGTCGACTACAGGAGGGTTATTGTGATTTGTGCTGTCAGAAACTAGAGTCTAAAGTATCATTCTCTTTTTGGGATGCATCAGTAATTAGAGCTGTACTGTTATTCACAATTAAATCACTTTTGCTTTTTTAATTGATCAAATCTTACAAATGTCTCCCGGCTGTTCCCTCTACAGGTTCTGGATCCTTAGTTATTATTGCAGCGGTTTAAAAATTGGCATTTCAATCATACATTTATTTATTTATTTGTTAAATATTTATATTGCACTTTACATTTTAATGAAATCTCAGAGTCAGGGCTGTTCTAATTTTATTCAATACATTTATGATACTTATGTGGAGATGGTGAAAGAGACAAAAATTCATTCAGCTGCGGTGTCAATAGTTCATTCTGGTATTACCAACCTTCACCTCTGATCTCTGCGATTGTAATAGGAGGATTATTCAAACATGTGTGAATGAAACGAAACACAACTCCGGGTACGCTTTTGATGAGGTAACAACGTTATAACCCGGCTTAAAGCTCTCAAGATTCAATTTGGCGTAATATAGAATACATTTAACTCATTTTAACTCATCAGATATTCATTATATGCAGCCCAATCCCACATATTTGCCCTTGACTCTTCACAGCGCTGTGTTCTGTGGTGAGCCTGAAGCCGTGGGAGTGTGTCAGACATGTGCAGGTGGGTGCCATAGTGGGTTCAGCTGCCGTACCTGTGACGCGGAGCTTGTCTGGTCCGATCACCGTCTGCTGACCATCTGCGCTGAACAGCATGTTATCGAGGGGCGAAGTCATGAGCACGCCCCTGGTCTGTCCCTGCGCCTCCCTCGGACCTGCCAACAACAAACAAAACACCTGAGCACCCGCTTTGGCTCACACTTCAAATGTCATTTTCAATTTGATGTGGCGTCTTTTTTAGCCATTTTTAAACGATATGGGACTGTGTATATTAGAATGTACCTTTGCTAGTGGACTGGCCAGAAGACTTAAAGATGCACTGTGTAACTTTTCTCATCTGCTTGATCTGCTTGTTTCTATGGAGATGTCATTGCTTTGCCTGGAATGTTCCACAGTGACATCAAACTGAATCCATCTCACTTCTATTCAATCACAGTTCTTTTGATTGCTTAAAAATAACTTGCAACCTTAATGAGAGTGGGCTTGCCTCACCACAGATCTGACCTGTAACCTGGCCTGCTGTCAGTCCCTGCTTTTCTCCATGGAGATAGATAAGTTTACTGTCTACTGTGGAGCATTCTGGGCAAAGGTGACAGTAGCTCAATTGGAAAGAGCGATGTCCACTGATCTGAAAACTGGCGGTTCGAATCCTGCTCTCGACATAAACATTGGTTTAGGGGACAAACCACTAGGGTGACTCCAGCTCCCACAGATGAATGCTGTCGTTTTGTCCTTGGGCAAGACACTTAACACTTAACCCACCTTGCTCGTGTGACTGAATGGTAGAATGGTTCCTTGTTGTAAAGAGCTTTAAGTGCCTTGAAGGTGGAAAAGCGCTCTATAAAAATGTGAACATTTACCAAAGCAGTGACATCTCCATGGAGACAAGCAGACAGCAGACAGCGGACATTGCGCCAGAAAGGTTACACAGTGCAGCTTTAAATCTGGGTGTTATGGCCCGAGGCCTCGAGTTCTTTGACTTGTTTGTGTGTGCTTGAGGGCCTGTTTACATGAGAACGCTTGCGGGTAAAAACGACAAAAAATTTTTTTGGAAGTGCCTTTCATTTATGGTGACTGCATTTTTGGGGCTTAAAAACTACAAAAATCTGAAACCACCTTCCAGATTGGAAAAGTAGAATACATTCCGCCTTAGCGTTTCTGTCTACACTGCCCAAAGACGCAAAACTCTGGTCAGATCTGCTCACTCTGCGTACGCTTTTACATCACATACATCACCACCTAGCATCACCACAGAGCCGCCTGCATATCGAATCCACGTCATCGTATGCACACAGATTTCCTCCCGAAAATGTTTGTCTAAACGGGCAATAAAAAGTGAAGACGCAATGCCACTTTTGCGTCTTCTGTTCAGACCGTCATCATATAAATGTAGTCTTAATTTCTTTCTTGTCCCCGTGGATTCCTGCTGTGAGAGCCCTGGTCCCTGACTGGTGGGGCACTTCTACACCAGGCCATTCCTGCCTCACCTCCAGCCTCCTCCCCCTATTTAAGTTGATTCTCCTCACCTGTTCGGGGCTGCTGGCCTTTGTGGCCAGTCTGACATGTTGTGTTTGTCTGTGTCTCTTTAGTGTCAGGCTTCGTTTATATGAACAGAATGTGTGAACTGAAGACGCAAAAGTGGTGTCACGTCTTCACATTTTATTTATGTTTAGACGAGTGTTTTCAGAAGGAAATCTGTGTGCATACGGTGACACAGAAGTATGTGGAATTCAGTTGGGTATGCTTGCCAAGTTTCTGTGTACTGTATGTATGTGACGTAAATCAGTACGCGAAATGAGCAGATCTGACCAGAGTTTTGCGTCTTGGGCAGTGTAGACGGAAAAGCTACGGTGGAGCGTATTCAACTTTTCCACTCTGGAGAGTGGGTTCAAATTTTGCATTTTTAAGCCAAGGCACTTCTGATAAAATGTTTTGTCTTTTTTGCCCGCAACATTCTTGTGTAAACAGGCCCTTAGTCACTAGCTTTTGTACTAGTACTTGTCTGACATCGTTTGTGTTGAGATACTTGGTTACTTGGTTGTGGGTTTATGTGGGTTCACTCATTTTTGTTTAAGCCTACATGATCTGTTTTTGGCATGACACTTCTATGTTAATCCTGTTATTTTGTTTCTTAGTTGAGGTTATTTTCTGTACATATTTTAGCCTGTTTTGTTAATTTACCATTTTACATCCCTGTTAATTAAACATTACTTAATGTATTCCATTCTCCACCTTGTTTTTTTTTTTTTTTTGTTACTTCCAGGAATCTAGCAAGCTGCGTCGTAACACTGGGCTTCTCATTGATGCCAACATCTCATGTTCTATTTAGACTTGGCTTGACCTATTAGACAGTAGTAGTGATGAATTAACCATATTAACCACACAAACACCAATGCCAAATCTAATTGTCTTCACAGATGGATTAAAAACACAAGACAAACAGAAGATACTATCGTACAATATTTTTATACTGTCAAAGAGGAATGGTACAAGATCTCATGCTACAAGACAAAACTGCCACAAGACTGTGCACACATGTGGAAAATGATTTCGTGAGATTTTTTCCTCATATTTTTAGATTTGCCTCGGCTGAAAAGGGGGTTAACTTTGCTGAGTAACTTCAAAGTAAATCCAAAAAGCAATGCTACAGTGACAGCAATAAATAAAAAACTGTGGAGTAAAAATTATGAGCTGAATGGCACAATTCATTTATAAAAAATTATATCAAAATCTTATCTTGTCTTGTTCTCGTGAGCCGAATCTCGTGTCTTGTCTTGCCTTGTAGAAATTGTGTTTCGTCTTATCCCTACTGTCCAATATTGGGCTGCAAAGATTAAAGTGCATATGACGGGTTTTAATCATTCTCTAATTTTGACTTAATTTGGTGGGATAATACCTGTGGTAAAGATAAATTATTTCAAACATTTTCTAGAATCTTGCACTTTAAATACTTTTAGGCTTTTTGGACTTAAAACAAGGGATTATGGATATTTGTTGGCATGTAGCTGCTAAGAATCCACAGTGCCTTCAAACTGTTAACATTTGAATTTTTGCAAAAGCGCCTGTTTATTTTATAAGTTTATGACTTAAATCTTCCTTCCTGAGTTTTGGAAATTTGAAATCGCAGCTGAAGCTGTAAAACAGCCACAGCCTGTAGACGCTCTGCCTGATTTCGTCCTCCCTCTCACTCACACTTTTACATATCACAATACTAAAACCCTTTTTGACCATATTTGGAAGTTCAGAGGGCGTTTCTAACCAAATATTCACAGCCCCTGCCCCTGCAACTGTGAAAAATGCCTCATGTCCATAATAGGCTTTTTTGCTTGTAATCAGGCATAGAATTTATTCCCCAAATTTGGTACTAATCCGATAATGTTGATGTTTCATGTCTATGCTAGGGGGCGCTATAGAGTTAACTTTTCTTAGATTTCATATTTCATTACATTCAGGCCTGGATCACACAATTGTGATTTGAATTTGAGCTCTCTAGACCAATGCCTGTGGCCATGAGAGGTCAAACAAACAGGAAATGAAGGCGTTTTTTGCCAGTGTGCTACAGGGAAACCACAAGGACTATCCCAAAAACTGCTGATAAATTTTGTGAATTTATGTCTGTAGATGTGACATGTCAATCTGAGCTCATTTGGACCAAACACTATTCGTCATAGGGGCATGCTCCAATTCATCTTTTGGCTTGTCTCATTGTTCTCCATCACTGTCCCGAATTTTGTTTGCCTGCGTCGAAATATGCTTTTCAGCTGCCCGTAGAGTTAAAATTTTTGCAAATTCCAGGAGGTGCTGCTGAGTGGGGTCACTTTGGGCATTGTCATTTCGCCAGACCGGTCCACCTGATACCCGATTCGGGGACTTTTCGTCGACGTTCAGGCCCTCAAAATTGCGACTGATTGCAAGGAAAAATAATAAGAATGTAAGAAACCAACGAAGAACAATAGGCCCTGGCCAGTTACTTCGTTACTGACTCGGGCCAATAATCTACATGAGTAGGGTGACCAGATGTCCCCATTTACCCGAGACAGTCCCAGTTTTGAGCCCTGTGTCCCCTGTCCCATCAGATTTATCTAAAACCAGTGATTTGTCCCAGTTTTATACAAAAAAATGCCCCAGGTGTCCCTATTTTTGAACAATTTGATCCCTGCCAACAGTAAAGAGAGCCATACGTTGTCATTTGTTGAGGTAAAATAGAGAAAAGCTGCTTAAAAACAACCAAAACACAAAGAAAACGTGACTATACTGACTGATGTTCGTCATGATGGTCTCTGCCTAACAATTGTCCTTAATTACACACTTGTTTCACAATTTTATCATTACCAACCCCCAAAAAACAGGGATGTCCCAGTTTTTTTATTTTGAAATTCTGGTCACCCTAAGCATGAGGCTGCACTTGGTTGATTCACTGGCTGCTTTGTATTGTTATTGCGATTAATTTCGTGATTTATGTTTTAATAATAGGGTTCTGTTCAAAGTTTACATTTTAAACAGGTCCAGAAGAATTCACAAAAACACTGAAAAATGAACTGACAGACTAATACAACTGCATAGACCATGTTCATACAGGGTTAGTAATTTGGACGTACAATAAGGCAGGATATTTTTATTGTTTGAGGAGAAAATGGCAGCACCTCAAAATATTCTGTCTTAGCTAATTGCATAGGGTGACCAGATGTCCCTATTTAAAACCAGTCTAAACCAGTCAACCTAAACCAGTTTTAAACCAGAACTACTAGTGTCCTAAACCAGGTGTCCACCACTAAACCAGATTTAAACTAACCAAAACCAGGTCTAAACCAGAGATTTAAACCAGGTCTAAACCAGGACTTTATGACTAAGACCAGGGACTAAACCAGGTAAACCAGGTCTAAACCAGGACTAAACTAAACCAGATTAAACCAGGACTACATTCAGGTCTTAAACCAGGACTACAACTACTAAACCAGGATCAAAACCAGGACTAAACTAAGACTACATCAGGTCTAAACCAGGACTAAACTAAGATTAAACCAGGACTACATCAGGTCTAAACCAGGACTAAACTAAGATTAAACCAGGGCTACATCAGGTCTAAACCAAGATTAAAACAGGACTGTCACAATTTTTGAGTAATCTGATCTCGGCCAAGAGTAAAGAGGAGCATAAATTGTCGTTTGTTTTGCTTAAATACAGAAATCTGTGTTTGCGAATGACCATAAAGCAAAAAAATGCAGCAACAGATTATGACTGACACGAGAATGCACAATGTTACACGCTCTTTTCACAATTTTATTTATACCAACCATCCCAGTCCAGGTGTGTCCCAGTTTAAAATTTGGAAAATCTGGTCACCCTGTAATTGCTTCCATTCAAATTTCAGCCCACTATACACAACTTAGCACTAATATTGTTCTCATTATACTGGTGATTCTTGCTTTCTGTATAATTTTTCTTCTTTTCCCGTGATAGAACAGTTGTTGCCTACATGAAAGCCTTACTATTGACCAAAGCTCCACACAGATGATTATTAGTCTAGCGTGGGCTAAAGCAGGCATGGGGTTTCCTGATGCTGTTTAGGCCTGTGTACCTCTCTGTGTGAAGCAAGAGATGTGAGGAGGAAGAGCCCCCACAGAAGCTACAGTCCTGCCTAACAAGCGCTCACATTTTACACACAGCTTAAATGATCAAGGACACATGAAGCCACGGTGGAACACAGCAGTTTGCTTTTAGCGTTCAGCATTTGTTGTCGTTTTAAAATTTGATAATGCTTAATCTCAGATGGTGGGCAGGGGGGTTATTGAACTCTATGGGAGATTTACTGTTTCCAAAATAGAAATAAACAAACACTGAAAGAATTGGGCCCGAGTCAGATGCATAAAACCTTTACAGAAGGGTGACTAAGTTTTTAAAATCAAACACTAGGACACCCCTGGTTTGAGGTGGTTGGTAATAAAAAAATTGTGAAACGAGTGTGTGATTAAAGCCCGTTCATGACTAACATGAGTCAGTGTAGTCACATTTTCTGTGTTTTGGTGATTTTTAAGCAGCTTTTCTGTATTTTACCGAAATAAATGAGTGTTTATGCCTCTCTTTAATGTTGGCAGGGATCAAATTGGTCAAAAATAGGGACACCTGGGACATTTCTTCTATAAAACTGGGACAAATCAATGGTTTTGGATAAATCTGCTGGGACAGGGGACACAGGGCTCAAAACTGAGACGTCTGATCACCCCATTTTACAGACAGATTTTGTGGCTGTAAAAGCATAACTAATCTTGGACAGTTTCCTTTCCCCTTCCTTTTTGTGATTTTGAAAATCTGTGTTTTACTTTTGTTTTTATTTATTGCAAGTGCACCTTTTCTCTCACTCCCTACCGGTATAAAGTTCCGTTTACATGCATAATTTGTTTACAAAAGCCAGGCTGGTGCCACCTAGTGCCTCTGCTCAATTTCATTTCTCTTCAGCGACTAGGTCAGGAATCAGAATACAATAGACAGTTTGCAAGAACCCCGGAAGTTGTAGACCGCGCACCGGCCAATCAGCAAAGAGCTGTGAAGCCATGACGTCAAACTCAAGCACCTGTCTGAGTCCCTTTTGTGGTGCAGCACAACAGTAAACAAAGCGGTCAAGACGGATGTAGACGAAGACATACATTCTGTGTTGACAATGATTCCTGAGATCGAGGAGTTAAAGTCGGAACAAAGAGAATGTTTGGTTAATTTTATCAAGGGGAAAGACGTTGTTGTCCTTCTTCCTATGGGATTTAGCGCATTACATACGTCATGACCAAATAGCAACGATTGGTTAAATAAAAAAAGTACCCGCTTACCGTCGAGTGAATGAATCCTAATGCTGTGAGGTCAGTCGGTTTCCACAAAGTGAAACCAGCTCATGAATCAGGCTAAGCATGTGCTGCCATTTTTGGAAATAAATGTATCTGTAGACCATTATTTGAAAATAAAGAATTACAAAAAATTAAAATAAAACAAAAAATTGGGTCCACAAACTTGCCATATTAATCTCAAGTCTTAAAGTACTTTGAGCTGACAACACTCACATCTTTGGGGCACAGACGGTAATAGAAATAGACTAGGGGAGTGTGATGTCATTCATTGCGTTCAGTTGCAACTAAATGAAGCACAGTGAGACTCGCAGTTATAGCGGCTAATCTGCAACCAGGGACCATATTTGGAAATCCGAGCGTGAAACCAAAGAGCAAACTACTAGTACGTCCATTTATACAGTCTATTCTTTGGGGCTGAGTAATAGCATGCCTGTCTGAGGGAAAAAATAGTGGATAAAATGAACTCTAAATTAGGCAAACCTACAAAGTGAAGAGCTCAAATACCACCTGAAGAAGATCACCACAAACAATGATACCTAAGTCTGTCACGATAATTAGAATATCGACTTATCGTTCAGTATATGAAAGCTGAAACTATATATTTTGGGGCTCAATATTTATCGTCGGTGTTTTTTTTTTGTAATGACGAGGAGATTTTTGATTTTTTTGTGTAATAACGTAAGATTTGAGCTGTAGAGAGAGAACTGCTGTATATGTAATTATCGCTTCATTTGCCTTTTAGTGGTTGCAACTCATGCCTTTTAATGATATTTTAATTTTAAAAAGTAATACGTAATTTTGTACTAATTAACTTTTATATGACAGATTTTATTATTTGAAATTTATATTCATCCATTTTGTATTAATGAACTTGTATATGGCTGAAATATAAATATTGTTGTATAATTATCTTATTCAGACCTCAGGATGAACAGCGTCAGCTTATCGGCACTAATGAGGATCCTAATCCTAACAAACAAACTATTTAAAATTAGCTTTATTTGTCCTGCTTTGTATCAGTTGCAAAAAGCAGTTTCACTATCGTTGTTTATCGCAGTATACCTCTGTAGCAATATAACACACTTCAAAATTTGTTATTGTGACAGGCCTACAGTCAAGTCTTTATTTGATTTTGGAAAAGTGACAATACCCTAATCTTTATTTACAATATTTTCACGATGTGCATCTCATGATATGATATTTATTGGAATATTTTTTGGAGGCTAACAAAAATACCTTGACAAGATTTAATCCAAAGAGCTAAGACTTAAAAGTGCTTAGAACTGCAAAGGAAGCAAAGGATCATGGTCTATGTAGTTTTTTTTAGCTACTGCTGCACCATAACTCTTAATTTAAGCAAAGAGACTTGTAAGTCGATATATTGTGATGGTCCACGATATTATTGCGAGACCTTTGACGATACGAAATCACGATTAGGGATGCAACAATAACCAAAATATCATCTTTTATTCCTTCTGCCTTAAGGCTTTTAAATGGAAAGTGAATTTGCTATTGTGACCTCTGATGCACTGAGGTTTGAATGTATGCCGTCTGTTTTTCTTTTTCTTTTATTATTTATAGATTGTGCATGACCAAAGATGTGTGAACTGAATTGCCCTTTGGAATTAATAAAGTTGTTGATTGACTGATATTGATCGATACCGTATTGTCAAAAGTCTCACAATAATATTGTGGACCGTTACAATATACCAAATTACAAGTCTCTTTCCTTAAATTAGTAGTTATGGTGATTTTAATGTCTTTCTTTTTGATTTTAATGTATCTATTATTCTGAAAAGCACTATGAATTACTTTATGTATGAACTGTGCCATAAAAATAAACCTGCCTTGTCATGGTGCAGGAATTGCTAAAAAACAAAAAACTACACAGACCATGATCCTTTGGTGTTGTCAGTGCAAAGTACATGAAGAAATAAATGTTACTAAGCACTTTTAAATATTAATTCTTTGTATTTTTGTAGTTTCAAGTGTTTCAAGGCTTCAAGGAAAAAGTAGCACATTCACAATTATTGTAAGCCTCCACAAAATATCTCAATAAATACTGAACCGTGAGATGCAAATCGTGAAAATATTTGGATTTCGTTACATCCTTAATCATGATATTTTCAGTTATTGTTACATCCCCTACTTCTGAACACCACTAAATAAAAGAGTAAACCGGAAAACACTGATGGAAACATAGAAGACTGCAGTGGAAGCAAAGTGCAGAGGAATGTGGCATGTAATAGGTCTATGATGGAAATGGTGCAGATTATAAATGGGTGGATGACTTTTAGCGCTGGAGATCTGGGTGGAACAGAGGCTTCAGGACTGGTGGATGACCGATTTTATAGTTGCTCATATTCATTACAATGTACACTTAAAAGGGGAACAGGCTTCAATACTGCTCATGGCTTCATTCAGTCATTTGACTCCATTTTACTCTGGAATTCCTCTTAAAATGGGTTATACGCACTAAACTAAAATGTGTGCAGTTATAGAGATTGGGATCAAGTCATCACACCTCAAAAATATTTAGCTCTTTTAAATTTAAATATTTATACATTTTAATGCTGCAAATGAATGTAATTAGTATAATATGAAATGGTTTGCAGTGGTCCAAAGTTATTCCTCACTTACCTAATGCATTCTGAGTTTTGCCGTCATGGTAAAGCTAAGAAGAACTAGAAAGCTAACATGCACTTTCCTGATTTTTGGATACAACATTGAAACAGACAGCATGCAGTTCACTTATCCTCTATATTTCTGTATTGGGGCCAGACAAATTTACCCAATATACATAGGAAAAAATTAGATACAGGTCCTTTAATGTCACTGAGATTTTAAGTTTTCTGACACTATCATGTTTACTTTTTCACAATATTTTTTGCTAATGCACCTGAGCTCTATAGACAGAGATAAAAGTGATGTTTGGACGCGTGTTTCTCACCCACAAACGTCCTCCCCGTCACGTCCCCATTTTCATCACGAGCGTTCAAGGACACACCTTCTGTGGAATGAGCCAACAGAGAAGCATCCTGAAAAACAACAACACAAGGAGTATTAGCTTCATGTTTACAAGTCTTGAGATGAACTCAAACATTTTATTAGTGTTAATTGGACAATAGTAATGCCCAGTTAAGTGGATAATCACTTCATAGCTGATCTGATCAAATCATTGCTTTCTTTAATAAAAGATCTGGTGCTTAAATTTATAACCACTGTAGAGCCATATTTACTGTTATTACGACTAATACTATCACTCCTCTTCATCAGAGCAGTGGTTATATTGACTGAGCAGACTGTCATTACAAATCAATTGACAGCCTTTAGATTGACTGCATACAAAGATGAATACATTTTGATCTTAATTAGAGTAATAAAGAATGGAAGGATTGCTGCTATGAGCAGAAACGCCATAACATGTAAACAACAGCAGAAAGTGTTCCCATCTGCTGCTAGCAGGCGGCCCATAAACTACTTTCCCCACAATCTCCCTGAGGTTAATGGGAGCTCACTGCAGCACCACGTGCTCTGTATGGGCTCTGTGTGGGACTGTGTGGGACTGCCAAATCCACTTTGCTCTGACACACTTCCCAAAGTTATGTGAGGCAGGAGAAACTTTGACAGATTCCATAAACACACTGCTTTGCCATGTTATCCATCATACAGAAGGGGCTAGAGCGCTCACAAGAAGAGAGCTGGCTTGTGCCCACGCCGTGTTGTGTCCTTGGGCAAGACGCAGCACATGGTCCACTCCACTCATTCATAATATGTGACTGGTGGTGGTAAGACAATCCCTCCAGCATTTACTGATCCTCAGCTCTTATATCTCATACCAGTAACAGTACAAAGAAAGAAAAGAATACTGAGTTTAGCATTTCATTATGGGAAAACAATATTAGATCTACACTGTGCTATCAACTCACCAAAAATGGAATTACTTTATGGCTACCCTTTGCTCCGAATTAAATTTTTGTAGTTGTCATGCCAACAAACAAACACATTATCACCAGCAGCACAACACTCCCTGCTTAGCACCAGTAATTACCTCCCTGGAGTGGATTTCATTGGCATAGACTGGGAACAGAAACTCGGACTCCCCCTCTTCCAGCTTGACGCCCTCTGAGTTGACTTGGAGAAGGCCCATTCCTTCCTGTGGGAGGGAAGAACAATGTAAGGATAAAGAATATTCCATAGCAAACTCCTCACAGAAAACAAAGAAAATGTTTAGATTTATTTTATTTTAAATGTGCACTGTCATTTTTCTGGGGGAGTCTGCCATCTGCTTACCTCCATGGAGATGCCTGGAATGTTCCACAGTATGAAACTTAACAATCTCTATGGAGACAAGCATGTAACTCCACAGGGGCAAGATACAAGTCAGATCTGTACAGAATGCATGTTTCTTTGCAGACAAGCAGGTGTCATCCTTACCTGAAAAGCTACATAGTTCAGTAGATGTGCTTTTGTCTGCTATATAGTAAGGATGTATCGATATCCAAATCTCTCGTTATGATATTATCACAATATGCATCTCACGGTACCATATTTATTGCAATATTTTGGAGAGGCTGATATAATTATAGAAAGGATGCTTTGTTTCTTTTAATATACCCTGACAAGATTTTGGTGTGAATTATTACTGTCATAATCTCAAGAATTCAAGTAAAAGCATATTACTTTATCATCTGTGTATCATTCGTTCATTTGTTTTTCAATATAAAACCAAAAATAAGAAAATGAAAAATAAATTTTCTTCATTATTTGTCTCTAAACCCAAAATGAAGATTTATTTTTTCAGTTTTCGATTTTGTTTTTTAAAAGAATAATGGAAAAAACGGATAATGGACCGAATCAGGACTAAAACAAGACTAAACCAGGACTAAACCGTTTTCAGCCCTGCTCTGGTTCCAGTCTGGTTCCGGACCTGGTTTAGTCCTGGTTTAGTCCTGGTTCAGTCCTGGTTCAGGCATCACAGTTTAAATCACGTAAACGGGAAAGGGTCGTCATCCATTTTTTTCCATTATTCATTTAAACACAAAATTGAAAACTGAAAACACTAATTGTTATACGTTTTTTCATTTTGGTTTTGGAGACAAATAATGAAGATGATACACGGATTCTTCATGTTGTCTGCACTGAAATGAATCATGGGATATGTAATTTCTGATGTTTATAAGCTATTGCTACTATAAAAAACTGCATTTAATCAAAGGAACTTGTAATTCGATATATTGTGTCAGCCCACGACATTATTGTGAGACTTTTGACGATACGATATCACAATATTTCGTTTATTGTTACATCCCTGCTTTATGCTTTATCTATGACACTCATGGGTCATTATGTTAGTAACATTTTAAACCACAATACTGATATAAAATGACAAGACTGCTGACCAACTGAGCTGACGTCAATGTAAATGTCAGTCAAACAGGCTTGAATCACGCTAAATATTCATTAGAGGGGTGGAAAAGGGAAGGAGAAATAATTATAACGTGGCTAAAAGCTCTAAAAAGTTACAATATGTCTCCTTTAGTACATAGGGTTATAAGGTAGACTATATACTGGAGTGTACAGAGAAACCTTTCACAGCAGAGTGGCGTGTGTGTGAGGTGCTGCGATAGTCTAACTCAGGGGCGTAAATCCACTGTGACCATCTGGACCAGAGACAGAGAGCTGACAGGACTGTATGAAACAAGCAAAGCAGAGTGCTGTTTGGACAGGCAGCTCGTGATCCGCTTACGGACAAGATCACTCCACAAATACTAAACAATGAGCAGCCCCGGTTTTGGAGTGCTGGCATGGAAAGCTCGATGGAGGAAAGAAGCTGTAGTGCTAATACAAAATATCCATGTGTGATTTTTCTGACAAACATTGCAACTGTAATTAGACTTGCAGTTTATGTTTGGATTCACCTTTAAAATCCATCCAGGACAGTGGTGAAGTGGGGATTTTTTCAGTGGGGGTGCGTGATTCGTGATATCGTCGATGTGAACCCCCAGAATCATGTTATTAAAATTGATGCTGTTCATAATCAACTATAGGACATAAATCATAGACATGAACCAGGACTACAACAGGACTAAACCAGGACTAAACCAGGTCTAAACCAGGTCTAAACCAGGACTAAATCAGTACAGAATCAGGACTAAAACTGGACTAAAAGAGGACTAAACCAGAACTGAATCAGGACTAAACCAGAACTGACCCAGGACTAAACCAGAACTGACCCAGAACTGAACCAGGACGAAACCAGGACTAAACCAGGACTGAACCAGAACTAAAACAGGACTAAATCAGGATGAAACCAGGTCTAAACCAGGACTGAACCAGAACTGAACCAGGACTAAACCAGGACTAAACCAGGACTGAACCAGAACTAAAACAGGACTAAATCAGGATGAAACAAGGTCTAAACCAGGACTGAACCAGGACTAAAAGCAGGATGAAACCAGGACTAAACCAGAACTGAACCAGGACTAAAACAGATCTGAACCAGGACTGAACAAGGACTGAACCAGGACTAAACCAGGTCTAAACCAGGACTAAACCAGGACTGAACCAGAACTAAAACAGGACTAAAACAGGATGAAACCAGGTCTAAACCAGGACTGAACCAGAACTGAACCAGGACTAAACCAGGACTGAACCAGAACTGAACCAGGACTAAACCAGGACTGAACCAGAACTAAAACAGGACTAAATCAGGATGAAACCAGGTTTAAACCAGGACTGAACCAGGACTAAACCAGGACTGAACCAGGGCTAAAGCAGGATGAAAACAGGATTAAACCAGAACTAAACCAGGATGAAACCAGGACTAAACCAGAACTGAACCAGGACTAAAACAGATCTGAACCAGGACTGAACAAGGACTGAACCAGGACTAAACCAGGTCTAGACCAGGACTAAACCAGGTCTAGACCAGGACTAAACCAGGACTAATCTTGGACTTGAGAGTGCGAGAGACAACCCCAAGCCCATGGAGCAGGGTGTCCGCAAAGTGCGATCGGGCGATGGCTGCGCTTAGCCCTGTGGGGCACAGAGCTCTGCGCCGGTTCTTTCTCATGTGGTCACCCAACGGTCTATGCGGGTTCAGTCCTAGTTCAGTCCTGGTCCCTCATGTCGCAGGTCACTGACAGTACTGCAGATATCATGAGCCTATGCAGGTTGTTTTCACCACTGCAATAGCTCCGGTTTGACATTTAAGGTGTAGCTATTTTCTCACGTCAGGAGAAGTGGGTGGACAGCGTACCCCCATGTACCCCCATGTACCCCCACGTACCACGCCCACCACACCCCTGATCCTGGAGCATTCACATCTGAGAGAAAAATGAAATCTGAACTTTCAACTAATTCAAGAATCTCACACATTTCAGAACATGACATTAAACAGCTGTACTTTACATTTATTCAATTACAGGTGGTTTTATAGCTCAAAAATACCTCGAAAAACAGGTATTCTGACTGTGAGCGGAGTTGTCTCTTCATGGATCTGACCTAGGTTTAATACCATACTGTGAAACATTCCAGAGAAAGCAATAACATCTCCTTGGGGAAAAGCACTTGAGGGATCCTGCATCAGAAAACTTACACATTGCACCTTTAAATAGCATTTTTCATTCACTCTCTGTCACTACTGCAGCAACAGCCGCCTGAGCGAGCCAGTCTGCGCCAATGGCCACTCCCAGCCAGCACTACATTTATAAATAACTAATCTGTGTGAAGTGTCTTGCCCAAGGACACAACCGTATTTACAAAACCCACAACCTCTGCGACAGGGCACTTCCACTTACAAGATTAATTTGTGTATGAAGGACTAAAATACTTGGGGCTGAGGTTTGACAGTTCTCTGCGTTGATTTACTGAGCATTATGGCTGCATTTCTTTAGGTCAGTGGCCTCATTGACAGCATGCCTTTGTTTTACTTTTGAAAGACGAGAAGGAGAAGTGCTGGAGAGGATTACGTGCACTGAAGCAGATGGCATCATCTTTGTTTGAAACATCCAGTATTAGTAGAAAGGTCAAAATCATAAAGCAGTCCAGATATTTCACACTCCCATTTGTTTGAAGTCTGTTTTTCTTGGCTGATAATAACACATTTTGAAAGAAATCTCTGAGCAGAAAATTCACACAAGCTGAACACAACCTTTTTGTTCAATATTGTGACCGCAGCCATGATATATTATTCTAATTGCTTAATTTATTTTTTTTCAAAGGACAATAATCATGCCCTGTGACTAAATGTTATAATGAAAAAATTTCACAGCTCAAATTTTGTCTTTGTTTCATGTGAACAGGCTGAGAAATTAAAACAGAAGGTTTAAAACAGAGATTACTCAACCATACATGGATCAATCAAACACAGATCTGAGTAAAAACATTACAACACAGTTAGAGTAATTTGTGCAAAAATAAGTCTCCTTAAAGATGCCTTTGGCCGAACACCTGTGATAAAAATCATTACACAGTGAGTGAACAAGAGAAGGAGCTGTACCGGGTTGAACCACATGACCCTGAGGACCCAGATGGTGAGGGCGAAGTTCACCACCAAGATGACGAGCAGCAGCAGCACAAACAGGTAGAGACAGCGCTTCCTCCAGCCGTAGATGCCGATGGTGTAGACTTGGTCCCGAAGAACCCGAGGAGGCCCCGGGCCCTGGGACAAGGTGATGTACTGCTCACGCACCATCTGCTGCCTGGAAACAGAGGACATGTCAGAGGAGGATTGCTCAACCAACCAAACTCTAAAACTGTGATCCAATTGAGATGGAACACAATCTGTAGAGCGCAGTTATTGACCAGGCGTTTTTGAATGAGTCTGGAGTCAGATCAGTGGCAGTATAAGCTTGTGCTTTTGTCTAATGGCGTCCATGGGCATGGGCAGAGAAAAGCAATAACATCTCTATAGAGACAAGCTTGTTGGCAGCTCTTCCCTAGAAAAGTGACATAGTGCCAAGCACCTTTAAACGTTTTTCACATTTCACTCATAATTAAACCTCTATCAAAAAATGTAAAGAGACATTTTAGCACTTGTTGGATGGCCAAAATATTACCATTATGTGATATATAAATATTTTAGAATCTGGTACAGCTGATGAAGCTCAAAAAGCTCTGTTGATATTTTGGGTCTGATAATGAGAACCAATTTGACCATTATCTGTAATGATCTGTAATGACTCACTACCTCTGTGCACTGTTAAGCAAGTAAATATAGTGTTGTTTTTACTACTAACCCATAATCACGTCCTCATTGTATCGTCTGTGTTAAAGCAGGTGGTCAGCCATGACAAAAAATAAATAAAATTAAATTGATTTAAGACTAAGATTTAAGATTTAAGGCTAACTGGCCATGCAATAAAGATATGCACATCGGTTTATAGAGATATTCATTTTTGACGCCCATGTAACAGCCCATCAATACGATACAAAGCTGGAGAGGGGGTTAGACTTGTGTTAGAATAGGATCTATTGAGTGGAAATAGCATTTGGCATTCTCCAAAAAATCCCTTTTCAACAGATGTGACATGTTAGTTTAAGCCTATAAACTTCAACACAAAACCTCTTCTCTTTCAAACTCTTTAACATTGTACTAACAGTGGTTTTCTAACTCTGCGCGCCAATGGAAAAAGTGAGTGGATTCCAGTAGTTTTAGAAGGAAAACAGCTCTTAGTAAAGAAAAAGAAGAGGAAGCAATACTTTCTGGTAGCTATCGATGACTAGAAGAAGCCCAAAAGAATGACAGTCAGCATATTTGAGCTCACAGCGCGTTACACAAGCAGGGATCATTTCTGGTGTACAAAAGGGCATGCGAGCTCGTACGGCGCCATATAGGGCCAGATTTTTATTGAGCATCCAAGTCAGCACATTTGGCCCATCTGACAGCGGGATACCAGGAAACTCTTACACCACCTCTGTAAGCAAGCTGGGCAGGGCGGCGTGTATAGGTATAGTATATAGTATAGGTCTCAATTAAGAACATGTCTTTCCACTATGCAGAAGTGCCAAGGTTAAGTGCAAACTAATGTAAGAAACTACTAAATTATACCTGATTAAGGGCACAGAGGGAGTAGAGTGTGAGTGGGATAAAGATGTCAATCCATGTATCATTCGTTCAGTTGTTTTTCAATATAAAACCAAAAATAAGAAAACAAAAAACAACTATTTTCTTCATTATTTGTCTCCAAAACCAAAATGAAAAAATGAATAACAGCCTTAAACTACGATGCCGGACTTTTGCGCTGCATATGGACTGAACCAGGACTGAACCAGGACTGAACCAGGACTGAACCAGGACTGAACCAGGACTGAACCAGGAATAAAACAGGAATAAATCATTTTCAGTTCTGGTCTGGTCTGGTCTCGGTCTCGGTCCTGGTCTCGGTCCTGGTCTCGGTCCTGGTCTCGGTCCTGGTCTCGGTCCTGGTCTCGGTCCTGGTCTCGGTCCTGGTCTCGGTCCCAGTCCTGGTCTGGTCCTGGTCTGGTCTCAGTCCCGGTTTGGTCTCGGTCTGAGACAGCGAGGCAGGTTACAGTTCAGATCAGTGGAGAGGTGGACTGTAAGAATGTAATTCAAGTTTTAGGTTTAATGCCATACTGTGGAACATGCAGAGCCAGAAAAAGTTACAGTCCTTTATATAATTTTGTAATTTAGTCCTTTATATAAAACCTTGATTAAACCATATCAAGTTTAATTAGGCTCTATTTTCCTGGACTCGGGCCAATCAGAGCAAACTAAGCAGTGCTCAAAGACGTCACACCTGATTTATCCTCATGTACTCGAGCAAAATGTGTCTTGCCCCAGTACAGATATATTACATAAGCAGCTCTTGAGGTCAAAATAAGTCTGTGTACTGTCTGCATGTAATTATAAAGTGTTTTATTGCCCCAGCAAAACTGTTTGTGGAACGCTTATAAAGCTTTTAAACTCACTGCAGTGAATAATTAGGATGCTCAGAATGCATGAAAGCATAGGCTGTATACAGTCTATAGCAAAAGTTAAGTGAGGTATAACTAAAAACTACAAAAATATAACTAAAATGAACTAATCTTGCATACATGGTTGCAGCATTACTTATGTACAGGTATGAACTTGTATAACCATAAGTAAGAACGGAGCAAAGAAAGCAATGCATTTTAAATGTAGCATAGTACAATAACCTGATTCATCAGCCAGTTTCACTTAGTTGAAACCATCTGACTTTAGGATTAGGATTCGTTCGCTCGACGGTAGGCGGGTACTTTTTTTCATTTAACCAACCGCTGCTATTTGGTTGTGACTCGGGGTGTAAACATATCCAAGTCTCACAGTACGATATTTATTGTGATATCGTGGGAAAACTAACGATATGATGGAGAGGCTCATGATAAGAGATGTAACAATACCCAAATCTTTCAGTACAATATTTTCATGATATACATCTCACGATATGACATTTATTGCGATATCGTGGGAAACCTCACAATACAGTGGGGAGGCTCACAATTAAGGATGTAACAATATCCAAATCTCTCGGTACGATATTTTCACGATCTACATGTTTTGTGGAGGCCAACAAAACTGTTAATATGCTACTTTTCCTCTTAAAATGCCTTGACAAGACTTAATCCAAAGTAAGACTTAAAAGTGCTTAGATCTGTTTAGAATTTCCTCTTGTAGTCTACACTGAAATGGAGCAAAGGGTCATGGTCTATGTAGTTCCCTCTGTCTTTGCACCATAACTCTTAATTTAAGCAAGAGACTTCTAATGCAATATATTGTGAGGGTCCATGGCACGGTATTATTGTGAAAACACTGACGATATGATATCACGATATTTTGGTTATTGTTACACCCACAGTCGTGACGTATGTAGTGCACTATTAACGGGGCTAACTGGTATATTAAGCTTTTCCCAAATCCCGTAGGAAGAAGGGCAATAACGTCTTTCCCCTTGATAAAATTCACCAAACATTCTCTTTGTTCTGGTTTTAAATCCTCGATCTCAGAAATCATTGCCAACACAGAATGTATGGCTCTTCACTGATTGGCTGGTGCCCAGACTCGCACTTCTGAGGTTTTTGCGAACTGTCTAGTGTATTCCGATTCCTGACCTAGTCGATGGAGACAATTGAAACTAAGCGGAGGCACTAGGTGGCACCAGCCTGGCTACAAAAACATGGCTAGAAATAAAATTAATGACACCACGCACAAGTTTTAAAATATACCCAAAAGAACAATTAGCAAAAAGATGTACACAATAATAGTATTATAATTGATCATCATCCACTCTAAGAGCCTTACATTGTCTCAGGCAGCAGCAGCTTTTCAATTGATTAATTTGCATTTGCTCTGAGCCCCGGGGCACCAGACAAGCCTGATGGAACAGAATGTAGCCCGGAGGAAACGTTGTCAGTTGTTGATAATAAACTCAATAAAAACTATACAAACAGGAAGAATAACATGACTTTTCCTGGGGCGACAATCTGCTGCCAAGTCCTCTGATGGCTCTTCTAGATCAGCTATAGTTGTAAATAACGTTGCGTCAAAATTATCTCGAGTGCTGACAGAGGCGGGATTCTCCACTGATTTACATAGTGGACAGATGTTGTGTTTTAATGCTACGTTGAGGGCATTTTTCATCATGTTAAGGAGTGCACTTCTCAAACTAACTGCTAACAACTCCAGATGTTTGATCACTTATCTGTACATATTATAATATTCAATGTGCAGCAAAGGATAAGACAAAACCTGTTCTGTCTCAATGAAATGAGTTGGCCTGATGTTTTCAGCTCAGGTACACGGCACTGAATATGGCTATTAAAGATCCTATATTACACTGAGTAAGATTCTTGTGAGCTTTAAAGGTGCACTGTGTAACTTTTCTGGAGGGGATTCGCCATGAAGGTGTTAATGCTCTGGTTTGAATTGTCCAGAGTATGTAATCTGTTTTGCATTTATTCAACTAAAGGTGTTAAAGTGCTCAAAAATATCTTTAAAAACATCCATTCGCCTCTCCACAGATTTAACCTGTAATTTGGGTTGCAATTTGCCATGGAGATTCATAAGTTTATGGCCATACTGTGGAACGTTCTAGACACATCTCCATGGAGAAAAGCAGATGAATTACACAGTGGGCCTTAAGTATCAATGTAATGTTGTTACTAGGGATGTAACAATAACCGAAATATCGTGATATCGTATCGTCAAATTTCTCAAAATAATATCGTGAACCATCACAATATATCAAATTACAAGTCGCTTAAATTAAATTTGCTTAAATCAAGAGTTATGGTGCAGCAATAGCTAAAAAAAGACAGCGGGAACTACATAGCCCATGATCCTTTGCTCCATTTCAGTGAAAACTAAAAGAAAAAATAACAGTTTTAAGCACTTTTAAGTCTTAGTTCTTTGGATTAGGTTTTGTCAAGGCATTTTAAGAGGAAAAAGTAACATACTAACAGTTTTGTTCGCCTCCACAAAACATGTAGATCGTGAAAATATCGTACCGAGAGATTTGGATATTGTTACATCCTTAATTGTGAGCCTCCCCACTGTATTGTGAGGTTTCCCACGATATCACAATAAATATCGTACTGTGAGGTTTATACCATGACGATATTGTGACACTTGGATATCGTTACACCCCTGGTTGTTACCTCCACAAAAACATAACTGGAGTTGTGTTTTGTTTTATTTACATATGTTTAAGTAACCTTTTGTTATTAGTCTGTCTACATCTCAAAAGCTCAAAATGCTTTTTCCCCCCCCAACTTGTGATGTAATGAAGTAGTAGTTTTCAAGATAACAACTCCTTTTACCTTTAGTAGAGATTGTCAATTCCAAGGCTGAAATCATCCAAATGATTCTAGTGAAGGTGTATGGAGTTTAAAAACGCAGGAGCCCTTTTTGTATTACAGCGTGACATCACAAGGTGGAACAGACAGTTTTCAGTTTGAGAGAAGAACTCAGCATAAACATGCAGGGTTTGTGTGTTAAAAACCTGTGAATGAAACAAAACACAACTCCAGGGATGTTTGTGATGAAGAAACAACATTATAACAAAAGATCTGAAAATGAGAATCTTATTAGGGCGCTGGGCGATTCGGTGATACAAATCGTGATCCGATTATTTTGGTGCTGTTACTTTAATCTTCAAATGAAACAGAATACGCACACCAAAATTCTTGTAGAGGCGCAAATGCAAGAAGCAGCAAGATAAAAGTGAAAAAATGCATAACATTCTCAGATGGTTGATATCCAAAAGCTTTTTTATTTTCAAATAAAAAGAAATTAATCTTCACCATATCTCTAATTTTCTCTTAAATGCAACTGTATTCTCAAATAAAGACACTTCCCCCTCTCGATATTTTTAAGACTGACCAATTTGGGCACCCCTCCAATTAATAAAAATTCTGAGTGACTGACAGGTGGATTTAACAAACTGCAGTGTGAAATTTAAGAGGAAGCAGATGGCTGTAGTTCAAGTCAAAATAAACATACATATTTACAAAGTGATCTGGCTCCAAGGAAACCGTGATACTAATATTTTGGAATATCACCCGCCCCTAGATCTTCTTATGAATGAATTATTGTAAGCATTGCATACATGGTTGCAACATCACTTAGTGTGTGAAGTTATATCCCAAAGATGGATGTGTTTCTCCAACTATTTGTCAGTTAAAGCCACAATAATGTAAATTTTAGCCAAAAGAAATAAACTGAAATAAAAGCAAGTTTTGTTTTGTGTTTTCATTTTGGTCGTGTGTTGCACTGAAGAACTGAAAAACATGCATCTGTACTCTGAGTGTGCTTGCATCTCCACAAACCCGAGTCGTATTTCTGTGTTTCTATGGTTTCCTTTGACTATATATGGATTAAACATTTCTATCTACATGGAGAAAGTTCCAAAGTGTGCTCTTTCTTCATTAATGTCGGCCTATAGAACCAAACTTCCAATTTTAGAAACCAAACTACTCGTGAATGCATTATCTCGTTTTACTCAGCTCATTCTTTCCAAACATTTATTGGTGGTTGAATGTAAGCTTTTTCTTTTCAATTACAGTGCAAATGAAAACATCTCTTAAACCTCAGCGCAGCTAGCCAGCAAACTCCAAACTGCTCATTTCACCACAAATTGGGATGAAAGACACAAGTGAGTGTTGAATTAGCTGATAATTCCATTCCCCCATGTCCTTTGCGGCATGATATCGGTCTGAGCTTGTGGCCAATCAGCGGCACGGATGACTGGACCCTAGATTGCAATACTAATGGCTTTGCTTAGGGATAACAGCATTAGTTTAAAAGACTACATTAGGAGCAGAGAGAGCAGAGGCGGACGCTGCTTTGAGGGTGGATCTCTGGGCTCTGGTTCCAGCCCAGGCCACAGTCTGACTCTTCCATAGCAACCCAAATAAACAGCTGCTGAGCAAGTGCCAGGAATGTTCAACTCGCTGTCTGGGGATAGTGCAATTTCGCCCAAATACACTTTAAGAACGTGGAAATATTCATTCACAGAACAGAAGTTTTTATTTGTTCTGGACTGGATTAAGTCTTCTGAAATTCAAATTTAATAGAAAACCCAGACTTGTGTTTTGAGCAGTGTATTTAAAGTCGCACTATGTAACTTTTCTAATGGAGGGTGTGCCAGCTGATGTTACTGCAGAGCCAGGAATGTTTCACAGTATTGCTCTGAGCTTATTTATCTCCAAGGAGATGACAGCACTAGGACATATCACAAGTCAGATCTGAGAAGAGGCAGACCCTCTCGCCTTAGGAATTCATGTTTCTCTCCATAATTTAGTTGCTCTTCAAGGTATTTTTAAGCAGCAATAACACGATGGTGATTTAATAAACACAAGGCAGATGGGTTTAACGCAATATTGTGAAACATTCAAGTCAAAATGATATGAAAAAAAGCAAGACACACCACCAAAAAAGTTACGTAGTGCACATTTAATCCAGATGAGAATGTTAAAGAGTGTACAGGAATGACACTTCAGAACAGGCTGTCTATGTTGGTCTGGTTAGAAGTGTCCGCCTTACTGTCTCCACTCTGCTGTGATGCCCTCCTGACTAAAAATAGGACTTGGCAATGCACTAAATATAAGGACCACACGGGGACATAGACAAGTGGACAAGCAAAATTAAATTGTCAGTAAAGTCTACAGACAGGCTTTACAGTTGAGTGGATGCTGTACCTTACATAAAACACAAATGCTTTCAGATCTGCCTGTCCATAAATGGTAAAATGTCCAAATCAGATCTAAACTGTTCCAAAATATGGCATGTTTTGGTCAAGTGGAAAGTTGAGCAAGATTTAGCAGCCCAAGAAAACAGTCCAGTTCTTCACAGCAAGGTTTGGTTTAGAGATTTGAACAGGAAAAAGCTACTCACCGTTGCTTGTTGCCCCTTTACGCTACAGTAAGCAGAGCCAGCTTGCTTGAATACCCGTTCCTCACACGTTTGACTGTCAGCCACTCAACAGCTGCGTGCCATAAATCCAACGCGCCCTAATCACCACGAGACGGCGCTCCCACTCCTCCCGCCGATCTCCTCCTCCATAGTCCTGCCCTGGAACACGTGCGGCGGCCGAGTGTGTGGGAGAGATAGGGGCACAGCGAAATTGAACAAGAGAGAAAAAAAATGAAAGCCCTTCTAATGAATACAGACGAGCGTTTGTCGTGCGTAACCAGTGCGTCACTTTGGCTGTACGATCCAAAGCGCGCTCCGGTCCGATTGTATTCCATCTCTTCAGTCATGGTTCTTCTCAGATCGCTCCTCCGCCGTTCACGCACTCTCCCACGCAGGGCGCCTGAAGTAAATTGCCTCAGTCCTTGATAAAATAATATTCATTCATTCTGCGAACTACTCTGGCATTATTCATCAGCCTACCAAATATTTATAGACGTGTTTAAGTCCAAAAAAATTTATGAGGAGGCAACGTCGTGCTTGCACCTTCCAGTTCTGAGATAGACCAATTAACCAATTAAAAGCTGCACTATGTAACTTTTCTAGTATGGTGTCCGCTGTCTATTCTGTGCAGAGATGAGTACAAATGCATGTTTTTCAAGGTTCAGGTTCAGTTCAGTACCTTGAAAACGCATTCGTATTTTCCTCACATGTAATACTTGTGTGTGTGTGTGAGTGTGTAATATAATGTATTACATGTGAAGAAAATGAGTCAAATGTTACACTGGGGAACATTCCAGGGAAACCATAACATCTCCATGGAGACACGCTGGTGGCAGAGCGGACCCAACATCAGAAAAGTTACATTTGGGGTATGTACAGAAGCCAGAAGTGGGGACTTGCAAGTCATGATTTGGACTCGAGTCAGACTTGAGTCACTATTTTTATTAGACTTGACTTGATAAAATGGGCTAAGACTTGGAACTCGACTTGGACTTGAAGGTCACTGACTTGGGACTTGACTCGGACTCGAGAAGACGTAATGCTTTTAAAAATATATGCGTTTTTTGAAAATGCTTTTCTCTTTTCAGTTGATAAATGCAGTGCTTAAATTTATAGGAACAAACTGGAACATGTCCCTCCCACTTCTCTCTCTGTCTGTTTATTTCTATGGATGTAACTATGAAGTAAGTACTGTGAGATGGTATCATCAAATGTACTACAGGAATATACAGTAAAACAGAGGGAAATACAGAGAACACGATTCTTACATATAACTGTTAAGCTGTTTTAAGTCTGAATTCCTTCTAATCTGACCATAATGATTCACACTAAGAACTTGTCAAGACATTTAAAAATATTATACTATATATAAATACTCATATATAAATATATCATAACTTTTTAAGTACAATTTAGCTTAAAAGTCATATAAATTGCATAAAATAAAACTATATTTGGTACTTTGGTTTAAAGACTTGAAATGATTTGGGGCTCAAAGCAGACAACTTGAACTTGACTTGGGCTTATGGGCCAGTGACTCGAGACTCGACTTGGACTTGCCGGTCTTTGACTTGGGACTTGACTTGGATTTGAGGTCAAAGACTTGAGACTTGCAAAACAACGACTTGGTCCCACCTCTGGAAAAGCAAACCTTAATGTTTAATGATGTGATCATAAAATTGTGTTTCGCTATTGCTTATGTTGGAACCGTTCACTTCACCCCTGCAGACTTTCAACTGTAGGAAAGAAAATCTACTATGTCTTCAGTATAGACCAAAGTACAGGTAGGCTACATAAAATTAGTCTAAATCAGTCTGTGGGGAGAATATGAAACCGTGCATCTCTGGCCCGCCCTGGACTTGAACTCGAGGCCATCTGTGAGGCGGGAATTCCAGTTAAGTTAAGAAAAGCAGCGGTGGGACCATGTCATCATTTTGCAAGTCTCAAGTAAGTCTCAAGTCTTTGACCTCAAGTCCAAGTAAAGTCCCAAGTCAAAGACCGGCAATTCCAAGTCGAGTCTCGAGTCACTGGCCCATAAGTCCAAGTCATGTCCAAGTCGTCTGCTTTGAGCTACAAGTCATTTCAAGTCTTTAAACCAAAGTACCAAATATAGATTACATTTTCGCAATTTATATGACTTTTATGCTCGTCTATTCCTTATTTGCTCGTCTCGTCCTATTTTTTTTTTTTATTTTTATTTAACCTGTTTTTGTATTTTCAAAAGTGTGGCATCATGGACATAATTGTAGGATGAAAAGTCACCCCCAACAACTTTTCATTAGGATATGTTGTGTTAATTTTTTGGTTCATTTAGCCCGTATTAGTTGTAATGCCACAGTGCTCCAGTAGGTGTCTCAGTTGGCGGAGTGAAGGGAGACGGACCACTTGGCCACACATACCTCAGTTCAGTCTGAAGAGCAGCTGTGATTAGGTTGTGTACAGACAGTGCAGTGAAGCCATTGCTCAAAAACGCATTTTTTTTTTCAATGTTGACAGCCTGTGGGTTAATTACACAAGAATCAAAGGCTAATCTACAACATAGGAAACTCATTTAGCAGTAAGAAAGTTTCATTAATTTGTTACAAAATGCAGTCTATCTTGGTTTAGTTGTTTTTTGTTGAGCTTTGTTTCTTATCACAAAAAATAACTTTCCGTGCATTTCTATATTGTCTTATTCTAAACTTGAGTAAAAGCAAGCATTTGTATTTGATTAAACACTTTGGATCAAAATGAATTAATGTAGTTCATGTTTTATCTGGCATTACTTGCGGTCATTTAGGGGGAATCCATGATAGGGACAATCAAATTTGGCAAAGTCTTGACCATGACTCATGTTAATTATTCAATCAGAAAGCATAATGACCCTCACATGAGTCTCTCATTTGGGTTGCCAGTTTCAATGATGAAATCCAGTTGGTTTAAACCCTAAAATCCCTCTCTCTGATCTGAATGGTCATGACCTAAACCCCAGCATGGAGCCAATCATGAAACAATGCTAGTGCAGCTTCTGAGAGAAATCTGGAGGTTCTGGGCTTTCACATGAGGCATGGCTTGTCCTTTATTGAGGGGGGAAAAAAACAACATAAGTATTCCAAGTCCTGGATTTATAGTGGTATATTGTACTAGAGAGCTTAGACCTGGTATTGTCATAATTCACACTTATGCTGGTTTACAGTGCTCGACTCATTTTTTAAACATTTCTGCAGTGGTGAAAAAGTTTGAGAGGCACAGCGATATTGTACTTTGTCCACAAGAGGGCGCCGTCTGCCAAATAAAATGCCTGGCGTTTAGTTTCTTTGTGCGCACTTGCTGCTCTTGGATTCTTTATTGGGCAGTCTCCCTTCGTGTAATAGGCCTAATTATTTATAAGTCAAAAAGTTGCATGTAAGCAGCAGTCTACAGTTTGATGTTGTACTGTGAAAAGTTACTGGTTACATTTTCACAAGCTTTAAGGATGACTGAGTAACGAGTCAAGTGGCAGTTCATGGCATCCGGGCTCCTATTACTTTTAATCCTGAAGTTTAGTCTAGTAGCAAATGTAACTTGCCAATACTTGCCAAATACAATGACCTTTAACAGTTTATAGCCACAGCATATAAAAGCAAATACAGCAAAAAAGTCCACATGCCTTTTTTATTTTACCATTTGCTCTGTGAAAAAAGCTACACCACCCTATCCAACAAAAGCCATAGTTAAAGGTGCACTGTGTAACTTTTCTGGTGGAGAGTCCATCAAATACTTCTCTTCTTGGAGATGTTATTGCCTCATACAATGTTTCACAGTGTGGTATTAAACCTTTATCTTCATAGAAACCAAACCAGACAAACTTACAGGTAAGATCTGTGGAGAGACAGTTCCACTCAGTCAGAATGCCTGTTTTCTAGTAATTTTTGAGGTATAAAAATCCCCAGTAATTGAATAAATGTAAGCAGTTGTTTTTCTGTGCAACATTGCAAGCTGAGCATTACATCTCCAAACAAGCAGGTGACAGACCTTCAACAGAAAAGTAAAATTGCACACCTTTAAACCACAAAGAAGAGATTGATGAATGTTTAGACCAAGAACTTCACTTTCAAGGTAATACACTGCATATCATGTGTATGAGAGCATTATTCTCCCATTACCATGCCAATTTTCAAAATAAGAATTTTACTCAATATTTCTTTTACAGCAGGTGTGGAGCAAGCAACTGAAGGTATTCAACACACACGGGTGGCAGCCTTGAAACTGCATATTGTCTTATCTGAAATATAAATTTCAAACATCAACACCATGCAACAGTCTACAAAGTGAAGTTGCATGATATAACTTGCCAACATCCTGCCAATTATAATTTGTACACTTTCAACAAAAAAGTTAATTACTATGACATTTCTGCTCAGTTGTGTTCAACATTTAAGAAAGATCAGTGGACAACAGGATTTCCTTTTTTACACTTTTATTAACCACATTATACAAATGTCCCATTCCAAGAAAGCCTAAAAAGAAAAGAAACATTTAGTCTACTTAAACATAATGTCCTTGTTCAAAAATGTATAAATATTCATTACCTGCTTATGCCTTCTCAGCAGCCGCCTCTTCATCTCCTCCCTTGGTGTTTCTTGTGTAGATGAGCTGTGCTCTGTGTTTTGACACCAGCTTGATCATGCCTGGGTGACAAAAAAAGTTCATTAAAATATACTTAAGATCAGTCATTTTATTAAGAGCACTAAATTAACTAAATTATCCTACTGTTGAGGTTCATATGAGAAATGTTCAACCAAGTATACAAGTAAATGTGATGGACATTTCAAATTGTGCAGTTTTCAAGTGGAACTTCCAACATTAAGTTTCAAGTGCAAGGTAATTCACCTTTAGCCAGCAGCTCTTGGAGGGCATTCCTTGCCAGAGAACCACGGATCTTCAGCCTTTCGGACACCACAGCAGGGGTGATTAGCTTGTAGTTGGGGACTTCTTTGTACAACTTGTCGTAGGTTGCCTTGTCGAAGAGGACCAGGTTATTGAGCTTATCCCTCACTTTTCCCTTGGACCACTTCTGCTCAGAACCAAACAAAAGCAAGGTTAGTGAATGCATAAAATTATTAGCAACTGTAAATTTGTGACAAACACAGTACCTTCTTCTTGGCTTTGCCTCCAGACTTGTTGACTGGGTCCTTGTCCTTCTTGGACTTTCCAGTGTCCTTCTTCTTGTCTTGCTTGGGAGGCTGAAAATATATACAAACTTAATCACTAGTATTCAGCACGTTTTTACAGCACGATTCGAGCAACAATGTCCCTAAACTATCGGCAGCATCACTGAACGTAATGGGATGAATCTTACCGGGTAACAAGTCCCTAATACACATACAAACCACGCCACAGGACTGTTACAGAATCAAATCCCCATGCCATGGCCAGACTGATCATTATTTTATACGCGCTACATGTCAAGGCCAGACTATATTTACTGCTCATGATTTTATACGAGCTCCACTCTCCGCACATGAAAGCGTGGTTGAAAAGGCAGGGGAGCTAAGGAGCTAGCCGCTAAGAAAGCTAGCAAAATTACACCATCACGCTGCTAATCTCGGGATTTTAACAACAAACGGCATGCTTTAGAATTGTATTTATTAGTGTGAACTTATCGTATGTCTCAGAATGACGGACTTTAGTCAATATATCACATTATACTCTCGGCTAACTGTCCTCACCATGTTTCCTCGTCAAGATGTCGGTGCGAAAGGAAGTGTGCCCGTGCCACAGCCGCTTAGACAACCCGTATATACGGAAGTGAGCTCAACGCCTCTGGGAAATGTAGTTCGTTGTTTATATCGTAATAAATGTTTATAATTGACCATCATAAATGACAAATAAAAGCTACGATTAAATGTTCATAATTAAAACAAAAAGACAGCGCAGTGCACACATTTAGGTAGATTTTGTAATAATAATATAATTTAGTCGCTGGTCACGTGACTCATTCTGACAGCTTCGCAAAAATGGTGATCTTCAGTGTTTATGTAGTGAACAAGGCTGGTGGTTTAATTTACCAGTATGACAACTACGTCCCAAGAGCGGAGGCGGAGAAAACCTTTAGCTACCCTCTAGATTTAGTGCTGAAACATCACGACGAGAAAGTACTAGTTTCTTTTGGGCAACGCGATGGAATTAAAGGTACACTGGTTAGCACTGGTTAGCATAGCGTAATGTAATGTAATGCAGAGTGGCAGCTTCCTTCAATTGCAAGAAACCTACACTTTATTATTCTTTTGTAGCTGCTATTATGGTGTCGTTTGCTCTTATCTGGTGTTACTAATGTGCTAATGTTGTGTTTCTAGTTGGCCACGCAGTGCTGTCAATAAACGGAGTAGATGTGATGGGCAAAAACACTGCAGATGGGAAGGACATACTTGAATACCTCAAAGACTCTTCAAATTACCCCGTTTCCATTCGGTTCGGACGGGCCCGGTTGAGCTCCAATGAAAAATTGATGCTGGCCTCTATGTTTCATTCGTAAGTCCAAATCATCCATCATATGAGTACACACAGAGTCATAATGAGTTCCTCTTTTGTTTTGAATTGATGAAGGTAATTAAATAAATATGATACTTTTTTAGGTTATTTGCCATTGGGTCACAGTTGTCTCCAGAAGTTGGCAGCTCTGGGATTGAGATGCTAGAAACCGATGTCTTTAAATTGCACTGCTTTCAAACCCTTACAGGTAAGAAACATTAACTTAAATAAAAAATAAATAAAATATGATAAAGACTTTTATGTCAGATATTCAAACAACATGGATTAGGAACAATTAATTACTCCACTGTTCAGCATGGCCACATCCCATTTCTGTTATTGCCTCTTCAAGTCTTAAATTGTTCAGCAGTGACTGGACACTCCCTGACTCCAGAAGTAAATTTTCCATTAATTTTTACCCAAAAGAAATTTATATTAAAAGTTGGAAAGCTTACTTGGGGCTTAACAGCTTCATGGTAACTACTGACCACTATACCTGTAATTTTATATCAAATCTGTTTCTGAAACATTATAAACAGTAAAGTTATTAAAACATTTATCTTAGCTCTTGTGATTTGAATGTGCTTTATGAACTTGAAACAACCCTGTTATGGATATTTGTCTGACAGCTGAAGAATCGAGGAGTCAAGGAGGCATGTTACAGAACTGGGATGTGGCCCAAAATGTGGCAGCCCAAAATAAAATAAATTGATAACAGTAATTGTGAATTTGTGATGCATTGCAAGAACAGAACATTTTTCACATGCTTTTATATTTAAGTTGGCATTGGTTTTATTTCACTGAATGTCTTATTTTACTCAGGGATTAAATTCATTGTAATGGCGGACCCTCGGCAGTCTGGAATTGATGCACTGTTACGGAAGATTTATGAAGTTTATTCAGATTTCGCACTCAAGAACCCATTCTATTCCCTAGAAATGCCAATTAGGTAACTGCAACATTACAAAAAAATAAGGTCACTGAATCTGTATAATATTTATAACCATTGTTTATTATTTTCAGGTGTGAATTGTTTGACCAGAACCTGAAGAGCGCTCTGGAAGTAGCAGAGAAGGCTGGGAACTTTGGAGCTGGATCATAAACAAAAATTATGTGTATATCGGCATGCTTCTTGGCAAAAGTTTGTACATTTTCAGTTTCTCATAATTTTTTTTGTTTGTCATGTGCACCTGAAAGTGAAAAATCAGAAACACTGTAAATACAAATGTTTTATATATGTTTAATAAACATACTAAATACTATATTTTGTCATAAATATATTTAGAAACCAGTTATAACAATTATTACTAACGTACATGATTGAGTAGTTTCTGTAAAAAAAACAAAAACTAAATGGGAAAGCTATGACTTAAAATGGTAAATTAAGTAGTAACTGTCAGGGTGAAGCTGATTTATATTTTGAAGTGAATGTAATTGGAAGAACAAAATATTAAATAATGCACAAAATTCATCCTAGTATTTTAAGAAGATAGATCACAAAAAAGGGAAAACCAAATCATATCTGGAGGAGCGGTCCAAGAAAAGTTTGTGAAATTTGATTTAGTATTTATATTGTCAACAAAGTTTTTATCACAGTGATGTCAACTTATTGACAGTGGGATGAGTAACCAAAACATTTATTCAAGTAAGATAACAGTCAATAAAAATGTTTCACAAGTAGAAAAGTACAATTTACCAACAAGTTACTCAAGTAAATGTAAGTGAGTACTAATCCACCATTGCCCAGGAGTGGTACGAAGCACTGCTGGATGACTGTCAAAATGTTTCAAAACCTTCTCTAACATATGTGATGTGGTGACTTTATGTGGTTCCAAATCTATTTTTATTTGTTTATTTACAAAACAAATACAGATTAAACGTTCTATTACTCTAAATGTGAGATACATACTTAATTATTATTAAGACATAATTTTTAATGACAATATTGTGGTATCACATGAAGCACCAACAAAAATCTATATTTCATTCACTTTCCCATCATTCTGCATTTGCTACTCTGCACTCATGATCCATTTACTCATAAAACTCACAATAACATAATTGACACTGTTATTTCATCTTCATTATTGGAAAAAAAAAAAAAAGGTATATTAAAATGTCATAAATTAGATTTTTGAGGTAATGAAGAAAACATGGCTACAGTGGAAATTCCTGCATTCCTGAATGTTTTCTACATTTTTACTATTGTCCTGAGAAAATAACACTGGTAGAAAAATATAAAAACACTATGACAATACGCCTTTGGTCCATTAAAGGTATCAGAGTCACGCTTCAGTCTTCTTTCTTTGGTAAAGCACCCATCTTGGTTTGAATATTGCGCAATAGGAAGTATACTACAGTACAGAGCCCAATGGTGACCTCTGCCACCCAGAACGCAGTCTCCCAGCCGTGGTGCTTGGCAATGGTGCTAAAAGGCAGACCGGCAAGGAAGCCCCCAACTAAAAAAAAACATAAGTACAAAACATTTTAATTTCCAGGCTAATAAATGTCATCAACTAGTATGAAGTCACTTACTATTGGCCATGAGGGAAACAATAGCGTGCGATGTACCACAGTAATTGGATGGGGCACTTTCATTGGCAATAACTCCAAACAAAGAAATAGGTCCATAGGAGGAAAACCCAAAAACTGCCCCAAGAGTGAGAATCCACAGCTGAAAGAGAGACATATATAATGGCAACTGAACAGCGAGGATAGTAATTGTAGTAACTGTAAAAGCAGGAGGCAAGTCAAATACCTGGGAGGAGTCAGGGGTGACTGTGATCCTGAAGAGAAACATGGCCACATACATTCCCGCCATCATCACAAGGAGGAGGAAGTGACGAGGATTGCCATAGATCTTCATGCCTTGCTGTTGGAAAAGGAAGACAGAGGAGCTCATTCTCCAACGGGTTCCTACAGCTTTGCTCAAACAGTGAACGATATAAGACACATTCATACAAGATACATTCATACCATACTCCCTACAACTGTACAACAACTCACCCTTATGTAATAGATAACCCTCTGTCCTGTCAATCATCATATCTTCTTTACACCGTTTTCCTTACAACCTCTTGTTTATAGCTGGGATATTTTTTATGACTTATTTTCCATTTTATTTTGACTTGTACATATACATTTATATAATTATTCCTTATTTGACACCAGTCTCAAGCAATCTTTTTTACTACTTATTTAGAAATTATTACCATTAATATTTTTGCTTTTTGTTATTATAAAATATTATGAAGTGTGAGCTACTGTGTCCACATAATTTTCCTTCTGGATCAATAATACCATCAATAATAATCAGTGTCTATTTATTTATTTAATGTTTTTATTGGTATGGATGTGAGAATGTGTCTATATTTACTAATTTTTACTGCTACAGATTTACTTTGTCAAAGTTCTGTTGTATTTTGTACAATGACAATAAATCTAATCTAAAAATAAAGTTTGTCCAAGTGTAAGTCTAATTATTTTTGTACAGTAAAAATATAATTAGAAGAAAAAGTGTAAACTACTATTTAGTAGTTTGTTATCCAAAAAACACTTTTGCTGTACTTATATGTAGTACTTTTAGTTTTTCCTTCTACTGTTTCACTACGTCTAGTTTATTTATTTACTTACTTTAGCCACAGCTTTGTCAGAGAAGTAGCCTGCAGCTATACTGCCCAGAAGGCCTCCAACCTCGAGAGCACTGATGTAAGAGCTACCTATGGAGAAAAACTAGTTATAAACAGCACTGATCAGCATAAACAGCGTGGTACCTTACCCATGAGTGTTGACTGCCCCTTGTCCTGGATCAAAAACAGCTGGCCCCAGTCACTACATGCAGTTTTGACTCCAAACACCACCAGGTAGCTGACTGACAGCAGCCACAGGTACGGAGAGAGCAGGAACTCGGACAGTGTGCTTTCAGTCGAGGGCCCTGGGGAGGAGTCAATATTATATAAAAAATCTATCTCTCTGCCAATATTTAAGCGATGAAACAATATCGATGTAAGATAGGACAAGTGAATAATGTGCATTTGTTGTACAACACTCAACACAGGTGTATTATTTGTCTGTACATGTAATAGGCATGTGAGGGGCCCTCTGAGATCCAAAGAGCACCTGACCTTTAGACAACACATGCTGTAAATAAACACATGCAGATGGATGATTAGGATGCACATGAACCGTAGCTTGTAAAATCTGTTTTAAAAATAAATAAATGTAATGATTCTGATGCGAAAATGTCTCCTGATGTTCACACCAGAACAAACACAATTGATATTTTTGCAGTAACGTCACGCTGGAGGTGTTCTACATGCATCTCAAATGGTGGAATGTTTAACGGTTACCATGGTGACACAATGCACACATTAGCAAACACAACCAAAAACGCTGACGACATCAATCAATGCAAGTTGCACAATTATTCTTTCTGTTTCAAAATTCGGATGAATGGAGAAACACTACGCTGTCATATTCACTCACAGAATTCAACCAAGTAGCTTCTTCAGAATTTAACTTCTTTTTCTATGGAGTTCAAAATGAGATCTCTATTTTTTTTATACAAAGGGATATCACATCTTTGTAAAGTAAAACTAAGTCCTCACCTCCTTTGGTTTTCTTGGCGGCCGCCTCAATGTTGGGCAGCCCCACGTCTTTGGGTTCATTCTTAATGACCACCAGACAGATGAAGGACACGAGAACAGAGATGATCCCAGACACAGACAGGATGGTCCTCCAACTGCAGCTCTGGGCCAGCACAGATGCCACGATGGGACCCACACTCCCAGCCAGGTTCATACTGCAGGACAGGACGGCCCACCATGTGCCGAACTGAGACGGCTCAAACCACTACAGCAACACAAGGAAAGCTGTAGTCAGTGAGCTCTGATATGGAGTTTGAGAGACAATTTTTCACACGCCTCTCTGATTTATTAAACTTAATGTAATCAACTGCACAACTCTTCATCTTAATATTTGTCTGAAATACTGTAAATTACACATTGAGACAACACTTAACTGACCACACCTTCAAACAACACATGAATTTGTTAGTTAATAGCTCTGAAATTGCATCAATCAATACAAATATTGAGTAGTTAAACCTGGGGACCCCAAAGTTTGGCCCATGAGGAGGTACTGAGATTTGTAATAACTATCTACTGTGATTACATTTTGTGCTGAAAAGACAGTCAAGAAATGAAAGGGAGCCCATACCAGACTACCCCTCTGAAAAGAACTATAATTAAATCGTGTCCTGATAAATATCATTTTTTGGCTCTCAGACATGATACGCATGCATTTTATTCAGGATTACAGCCTTCTGCATTTTATATGGAGATTATCACATGTTAAGCCCCTTTTGGTAACCATTTGGTAGACTTTTGGGGGGCGTACAGGGGGGCCTTCAGTACCTTGTTGGAGGATTTTCCAATTCTGTAACGAAAAAGACTGCTGCATCAGACTGTATGGGTCATATCTAATGAAGGGGGCAGCAAATAAATATAAATAAAAATAAAAATCTTATAGTAGAACAGAAAACCCTAAAGTGAGTACCTTCCGTAGCAGCCGCCCACAGGGGGGCCAGCCCAGGCCCTGTCCCAGACCGTTGAGGAACCACAGCGTGGAGAAGACAGCTACAGTGGAGGACCAGGAGAAGACCACATTGATGCCTCCCACAAAGAACAGACCGATGGAGAAGAGCCAACGAGCGCTGAGCTTGTCTGACAGCACTCCACTGATGAACTTACTGATGGCATAGGCCAAGGACTGGCTACTAGTGATCATGCCTGAAGATATAGAAGGGTACAGAGAGAAGTACATCAGTACACATCAGGCTACAATGACCATTGTTAAGCATAATGGTACAGGTAAAGACATCAGCTATTGTCAATATTTCATACAAATATCCTTATGAAATGTAAAGCATTTCAGTATTTAGCATCGTTTTAAATTTTTAAAGTCACATTTTTATTATGAACAATAAAATTATAATGTTGTGTAATGTTGTTTTAGTGGTGTACTTTATTTCAATAGAGCAGTTGTATATATATCTGTATCTAAAAGCTGTTATGGTTGAATTACTTATTTGTCCTACGGCAAGTTGTCAGTAAAGGATCCATTTATTCTTAGAGTAAATAGTTCTTTTAATAAATACATGTATGAAGTCATGAGTGTAGTCAAGCTGTATTTTTATGTTGAAGTAGTAAAATGATAAATACATAAAAAATGGCCATGGCCTTTTATACCACTTCATTGTCAACACTAGTTTTAAATCAAATTCTAAAGACCTTTGATAAAAAGTCTGAAAATTCAGATGTAGCTTTAAACAACATACCCAAATCATCTTTGTCCATCTTAATTTCCTCCATGACAGAAGGCATAACAAAGGAGAATGTCTTCCTGTTGAAGTAGTAAAGTGTGTAGCCAACAAACATGGCCAAAAATATAGTTCCCCGGTAGTACCCATAGTCTGCCATGATTCTGTGTGTTACCCCTAAAGAAATAAGAAAGAAAAGAGATTGTAAAGACAAAGTACACTTGCTGACAGACTGGTGCAGCCTGTGACACTGAACTTTGCTTCAGTATGCACGGACGCCTGTTAAACCGGTGTTTATCTCTTAAGAGTGTCCTGAGAATGATGAGATTAATGATTCACTGTGAGCTCCAATAGTCACCCAGGACCAGGGGGAGGCTGCAGTCCAAATTACAAAGTAGCCCATGAGACTCAACATAGAAAACGCAAATAAACCAATATTTGGAAAAAAAAAAAAATACACAAGGAGAGGGGCATTTTCACATTTGCACTACTAGACAGACAGACTGATAGAGATAATACTTTATTTATCCCGAAAGAAATTGATAATCAGGCAAAAAAAAAGAAAGAACTACTACTAATATTATATTTTTTTTAGTTTATAATGACTGCTCACCTCTCAGTTTCCTATTAATTTCCGCAAAGAAAAAAATAAGTTTAATAGCCTGCATGTTGTTAATCAGCTTATCTAAACACCCAAGACCTACAGGTTCATTTAGATTTTGCCCCTGAAACATCATAAACTTTTTTGAAGTTTTAAATGTGTTTCTTGGACAGAAAACATATGCGTTATACGGATAGCTACCATAGTCCAGCTGGTCTCCGTTGCACCTTTAATATGTGAATTTTTAAAGCAAATCTTAGAAAATCAATCACAAATTTACTTTAGGAACTGTAGTGGTTTTATAGCTCAAATATACCTAGAAAAACAGGCATTCTGACTGTGAGCTGGGTTGCCTCTCCACAGATTTGACCTGTAACTTGGTCTGTTTTGGTCTTCATGAAGACAGAAAATGTTTAATATCATACTGTGAAACATTTCAGACAAAGCAGTAACATCTCCATGGAGAAAAGTTTTTTATGGACAGAAAACCTAAAATTGTGCTCCACTCTCTTCCATTTTAAAAATAAGTTTAAATGTTTAACTCTGAGCAGATACATGAATTATGAGACTTGGTTTGTGCTATAACACTTTGCTATACTGTTACTGATTTGTTTGTTTCCTCTTGCTGTATTTATGAATATGAACTGATTTCAAGATGACGTTATTACAATGGAATAAAAGGGCATAATAAGCTCAAGCTTCAGCTCAAGCTTAATCAATCAAAATCCACCAGAAAAGTTACACAATGCACCTTTAACTGTAGTTGCAGAGTTGACTGAGTTGAGCTGAGTTGGCACATACCTGTCTCAGAGCACAGTCACCATGAGAGACCAGGATCTGCCACACGCACCTCTGTCACCAAGAGGCCTGGACATGGGGAGGTCAAGCACCAGCTATAAATACATCATTAGTCATTATTGGCATAAGAAATAAATACCTGCAGACCTACGTTTTACAAGGTTTGCATAATTTCCTCTTGTATGGTAAGCCGGGGTGGATGAAATACTAAATTTTGTTACTTAAGTAAAAGTACAGATACAAAGATAAGTAAAGTAAAAGTATCACATGAAAAATTGGGGGTCCATTACCTGCTTGTTTCTATGGATATGCCATTGCTTTGTCTGGAATGTTCCACAGTATGACAGCTCTACCTTACAATTATTCAATTACAGGTGGTTTTATAGCTCAAAAATGCCTACAAAAACAGGCATTCTGACTGTGAGCAGGGTCGCCTCTCCACAGATCTAACCTGTAACTTGGCCTGGTTTGGTCTACATGACAATAGAAAAGGTTTAATACCACAGTGTGAAACATTCCAGCCAAAGGAATAAAAGCTCCATGGAGTAAAGCATCTGACGGACCCTCCACCAGAAAAGTTACACGATGAACCTTTAAGTAAAAGTATTTAAGTACCCGTTTAAAATGAACTTTAAAAGTAAAAAGTAAAAGTATTTCACACTAGTGCTGTTAATTTGTTTAAATGTAGTGATACTGATTAAAAATGCTACACATATTCATAGCCACTAATCAATTTCTTAATTTTTCTTATGAGTTTTGTGTATTTGTTTGCTCAAAACCTAAGTTTGAATTTAAAAACATAGTCAGGTTGGTACCACAAACACCAAGACATGGTAAATAACCCCTAAAATCATTTGAAAAGTACTTTTACTTTTCAGTCTGGTTCAAAAATGCAATGGAGTAGAAAAGTACAGATACCTGCTTTCAAATGTAATGAGGTAAAATTACAGATACCTACAAATTCTACTTAAGTACAATACTAATTGCTTCACAACCAAACCAAACATCTAAGCATCAACCAATCGACCTAACATTTTTATTTTTTTATTCATGTTTTACTGATTAAAGGTCATATATTACACAAAATGTAACCTGGTGAGTGGAGTTGTGTGTTGTTTCATTCACACGTTTGAGTAATCCTTTATTATTAGTCTGTCTACATCTCCAAAGATCAAATGCTCTGTTTGACCTTGTGATATCATGAAGTAAAACTTTTCAAGTCAACAGCTCTATCAGTAGAGATTGGGAATTCCAGATCTTAAATTATCCACATTATTCTAGTGAAGGTGCATGGAGTTTAAAAATACAGTGGAGCACTTCCTGTATTACCATATGACTAGGGTGACCAGATTTTCAAAATCAAAAACTGGGACACTCCCGGTTTGGAGTGGTTGGTAATAAAATTGTGAAAGAAGTGCGTAATTATTAAGGAAAACTGTTATGCACTTGGCCCATGTGAGTCAGCATAGTCACATTTTCTTTGTGATTTGGTATTTTACTGAAATAAATGACAGTTTATGCCTCCCTTTACTGTTGGCAGGGATCAGATTTGTCAAAAATAGGGACACCTCTGGACAAATCTCAGGTTCTCAATAAATCTGCTGGGACAGGGGACACAGGGCTCAAAACTGGGACTGTCCCAGATAAATAGTAAATAGGGATGTTTGGTCACCCTTCACATGACATCACAAGGTGGAACAGAGAGTTTTCTGTTTGAGAGAAGAACTAAATATGCAGGATTTGTGTGTTAAACATATGAATGAAACAAAACACAACTCCAGGTCTGTTTGTGCTGAAGAAACATTATATAGATCAGAAAATAGCACATGAAGCTGTCTGTATTCAACTTTTTCAGTACAGAGCTGCGTGAGTGAAGTGAAAGCGTATGAAATGTAGCCTTAGGAGGACAGGGAATAAAAGTTGGCATCAGACACCAGAAGTACCAGTCCTACCTAATGCATCCGTGCCAGCCATCCACGATACCTGTTTCTGAAGACGAGCAGCTGTTAGTGTTTATTATAATAGTTACAGATCTGGGTGAGACAATGAAATGATAAACAAACTGCACCTTTTCTTATCCTCCTGCTACCACATCTTTAACTTTTATATTTCCATAACTTCTCTGAGGAGTCGTGAGGTTTCCTTGTTGCCTTCGTGGACATGAGGGCGTGCCTTTGAGCATACCGGCCTCTACGTCATGACGCAAGACCCGTGACCACGCCCCCAATATATAAACATGACGCCCTCTGTCGGTGAGATTGAACGTCTACCTGTATTTAACATTTAACCAGTAGGGGGCAGCAAAACTCCGCCCAACACCTAAATACACAGACTTTGAGCTGCTGCAGGCTTTCTTCATAAAACTGAACAGATGATGCGACTAAACTAAATTGGAGAGCATTTTATGACTTCTCAAGTAATTTGTTTATCCACGCCTATAACTATATAACTCTTTTTTTTCTTTAATTCTGGTTTTAGTTCCTTTATTTGCTGGTAAATTACAGGTAAGATTAAACTAACACGGACCCTTCACTGTTGGACACTGGGTATTTGTGTGTGATAGCTTGGACTGAGTCAATATAAAGTTAATCATTTAATTAATAGTAATTTATTTTTAAAGTCCACAAAGAGAGATGCGGTCTGTTTCGTTGAAGCTGTCTTACAATAGTGGTGGCACATGATTTTAGAACAGTGTGTGAGTTTGGAGTGTTTCAGTCCAAACGAGATGCTACATTGAAAATATATAGGCTATCATCACAACATCATTCTAGCCAACATTTCAGAAATACTTAATATAAGTGATATAGGCCTAAACAAAGTTAATTATTGATAGTAATTAGCCTAATAGATTAAGCATTACTTAAAACCATAGTATGCAACTTTTTAGCAAAAAATAGTCTGAATTAAAAGCTTATGTGTGTGTGTGTGTGTGTGTTTATTGCACTAAAAGTTTTTGAAAAGCTTGCAGTCTTACTCTGTGCAGGGTTGTCTCTCCAGAAATCTGATTCTTATTCGGCCTGGAGGGGGACCTCCTCCTGCTTGTTTCTATGGAAAAGTTGTTGCTTTGGCTAAAATATTCCACAGTATGGCATAAAACTTATCAAAACTTATGAAGTTTATGGAATCGTGCAGATGATGTACCACCTCCAGAAAGTTACAAACTGTACCTTTAACTAATATTACCACTATTCACAGACAAAGATTTTGTTTTTCTAGAATGTTCTTCAGACACTACAGCTACACAGACATTACACTTTCATCCATACTTTTATATGGGGTTTTGTAACATTTCAGGACAATTTCTCAGCACGAATTTTGCAATTTTACCGCAATTTTCAATACTGGTTTTAATATAATAGTAAATAAGTTATCCAAAATCCCCTCTTTACATTTTTTGTTTAATATGTCAACAAAATAAAGCAAGAAATTTAAAACTGACTATCAATTTTTCTAATTTAAATGCCAAAAATATGTGAAATCTTTGCCATTTTTTTTTTTATTTATATAAATGAAATACCTCAATAATGCATGAACACATATTTTTTGCTTCCCGCTTTAATATTTTTGAAAGTGTGTCACAAATTTATTGTCTTTACTTTCTGGGTTCAGGAAGGTGTTTTACAAATATAAATACAGTACACAACTGACTGCTTTCTTTGGCAAAGCACCTTTATTGGCTGATTTCACACATTTAATATTTACTGTTTTCTCATCTCACACAAAGCAAAGCGATAATATTGTCCATGGATTTTTCCCTCTGTCCATCTCAATTAGCCACTCCAATGATGTCCTTGTATTTCTCCGTTAGGCTCCGCGTCCTGATGGTCAGATGTCTCATCAAATTGAAAAGTCCTTTGAGATGAAAATGAAACTGCCTCTCTTCATCCATGTCTAGTGATGGATCCATGTTCCGCTCTGCAGCTTTACGGTCGTCGATGGAAACCAGCCCGCTCTCCACTGTGTTCCTTATGGTCTTGAGCATCTGGTAGCTGTCGTAGAGGTCTCGGCAGGTCTCCTCGCAGTCGCCCAGCTCATCCGTGGGAACATCCCGGAGCAGGCTGGGCACGAGGATAGTCTGCTCCATGTCCGTAACGGCGGCGCTGTACCTCCGCAGGGTCAGGGACAGGCTGTTTTTGGACAGTTGAGACTCAGTTGGTTGCATGTTTGTGGTTGAGTTTTGGTGCAGAGCGAAGGACCAAGCGTGCGGGGGTCTCATTTTATAGTGGGTGGTTGTGTTGTGTAACAGAGTCATCCGATGAGTTTAGAAAGTTGAGAGTTATTCAAAGTCAAAGTCTGTGTTTGAATTGCATAACCACACGTTTGGTCTACTGTCTACAGATTGCACTGGAGTGACTGGTCCAGCTGTTAAATGATTACAAGAACAGGTCCTGAGTTGGATGACCCTGTTGTGAATGTTCGGTTGTTTCTAAGAAGTGGCTAAATAACTTAAACTAAATAGCTGTTTTTGTTGGTGATGACCACCACTCATTTACCCAAACTAAAAAACATCTAAGCTTTTGTATCATCATGCTCCCACTGACCAATACGCAATTTTGTTACTGTAAAAGTACAGATACAGAGGCAAAAAGTTTCTCAAGTAAAAGTATCACATGAGAAAATCTACTCAAGTAAAAGTATTATAGTACCTCTTAACAAAAAAGTTAAAGTATTTATTAGGGGTGTAACGATATCCAAGTCTCACAATAGGATATTTATTGTGATCTATTGTGGTCTAAACTAGATCTAAACCAGGTCTAAACCAGGTCTAAACCAGGTCTAAAACCAAGTCTAAATCAGGTTTAAAACCAGGTCTAAACCAAGTTTAAAACCATGTCTAAACCAGGACTAAAACCAGGTCTAAACTAGGTCTAACCCAGATCTAAACCAAGTCTAAACCAGGTCTAAAACCAGGTCTAAAACAGGACTAAAACAGGATTTAACAGGACTAAACCATGCTGAGTAGACCGTGTCTTGTCAAGATATTTTAAAACCAAAGAAGTTTCCTATCTACAATTATCTTAGTCTCTCCAAAATATCGTAATAAATATCGTACGTGAGATGCATATCGTGAAAATATCGTACCGAGAGCTTTGGATATCGTTACATCCCTAGTCTCGAACCATAAAGAAAAGTTCTTTTTACGTTTCAATCTAGATCTAAACTGCAGTGAAGTAAAAAATGCTGATACTTACCCTCAAATGTAGTATAATAAAAGTAAAAAGTATCCACTGTCAAATTTACTTAAGTAACATACTGATACCTAAAATTTGCACTTAAATATTGTACTTTTACTTTTGTACTTCATTATCTTCCACCACTGCCACCGACACATCTGAGCTTTCTTTTTTTCTTTCTTTTCTTTTGTTAGATTTTATTATAATTGAAGGAACTTGAAGAAATGTTAGATTGTAATTTTAAATTTCTTAAATCTGACTTATCTGCTTCCCCAGATAAACTAAATATAGCTTTTACGGATAATAACTCTAATGCTTATTTATTATAAATTACAAAAGCATTTCATTTTTATTATAATTTGGTGTTTTGGTTCTCCAGACATGTATCCAGTCAGAAAGTAGGATGGGCCTTATTTGGGTTTTTAATCATTAAATAGTGCAAGTACAGCCTGAGTTAATCCTGGATGATCTGGGCTTTCATGCAACTCTTATCTGCAGGTTTAGGCAATGTACTCTTATCTGCAGACAATTTAGGCAATGGCAACCTAGGTTCAAGTTTACAAGATTTGGCAATTTGATTACATTTATTTCAAATCAGTGGCCATTTTGTTATGCTGAGCTTGCAAAAATCTCTTCGGAGTGTGAGAGGAGATACTTGTGGAACCCGTTGTTATCGTAAAACTCACCTGGGGGATCGCGGGACTGTACAGACTCGTGTTGTGAAAAAATAAAACAAAAAAAGACTGAAAGATAACCTGATATTCACCTGATCTGAGACAGGTTTTGTTAGGAAAAATGCATGAGTAGAGACATGTTTGTGCAACGGTCTTGATCTCAGAACTTAGATAAGACCACGTTATAAAGTTATTTCTGTATTGAGTATCACGCTGTTGTCATAAAAATTTTGTTTTAGAGTTTTAAATTTCAGTATCGAGGCAGCACCACAGACAAAATCCTGTGAACACATTCTCCATTTCAATATAGAATGACAGCACTCCAACATTTAAACAAAACAAACTTTATATGAATTAATAAGGCAACTTAAGTTTTAGTCACTTCCACTCAATTACAAACACGTCACTGTACTACATGGAAGTTATAATGAATTATGTTGCTTAGACTTGACAAAAAAAACGATGACAACAACACTGACTACTGTATGTCTGTAGACTTAGGGCATGCTTTGACATTGTCACTGTGTGAATGAAAGTGACAGGAGCACAAAATAATGATAAAGTGATTCCAAAACTGTCCGGGACACGGGAGCGGGGGTGCGGGGCGTATCCTTGGAATTGTCCTGGACAGTTGTGTAAACCCACAGGCCTTGGCTTGTTTAGCTCGTAATGACTTCAATCAGAGCTGCTAATCCTGCTCCAGTCTCTGTCCTGACGCCACTGCACCTCAACTGACCCTTCACTCCTCTCCTCTTCCTCCATTTCAGACAGGTTTCTTGGTTCCACTTGGGTTGGGTTGGGCGTGTAGTTTCAGGGTAATGTGCAAAATGATCTCCTCCTCGTCCTCCTCTTCGTGTGGTTGTGCTTAGTTGACGGCCTTCCTCTTTTGTCCCTTCAGGATGATCTCCAGGACGTGGGTGAGGTCCATCATTTTGGAGAGCATGTCCATGATGTCAGGGTGCTCCCGGGCGCCGCTGATGAACTCCTCCAAGGTCAACTCACCTGGACGAAAGCAGCAGGTCAGATTAACAACTTAGCACATTGATAAATCTCACACAATGGCCAATAGCAATCTTGTTTAGTCATGAGAGCTTAGTTTTGTGACCATATTTTCTGTTTCTCTTGGCTGGATCTTAGAGGAAGACTAAAGAACAACTGATTAATGTCTTTTCAATTAATGCCTCACAACAATTGTCAGTAATAATGATCAATATATAAGTGAGATTGGAGGGCCTTCATAGATATCAGTATTGTTCATGCTCCAGTATCAGAAATGCTGCTGATATTTGGCACAGATATATTTTCTAGTCCTCATATTTGTATTTTTAAACAGATTAAAAGAGCTAAAAATATGGCTGAATATGTTTCTTTACACAAAACACAATAATGTGCATATCCCATATTATTTATACTCCAGATAAATATATTTATTTTGACAAAAGTTTCCTATAACCCCACATTTATCTTACAATCGGTACCGGCAAATATCGTCATTCAGGCAACAGTGGCAAAACAAATATCAGGTATCGGAATCGGCACTGAAATCCATATCAGACCATCCATAATTTTAAGTAAATTACAGAATTATCCCTACCTTCTCCGTGCACGTCGATCCTCTCATATATTAGATTCACGATCTCTTCTGGAGGAATGTCATAAATCCTAGTGATGTCTTGAATGGCCTGCAGACAAGAAACCAGAAAAACTCAACATTAATTCAGTCATTTCCATCAGTCAAATGTCATTTCAATCTGTCAGTGCTTAGAAGGGGAATATATCAATTACTCAGACTAGATTTTTTTTTTATCAGAAATATACTGAATTGTTTTTTCTTGGGGTTCAAATATCAAACAATTGTGAATATACTGTTAGATTAAAAAGTGCCTCTTGTTCTAGACGATACACTTGGTTTTCAAAACAATAATTTTTATAATTTCTTAGTGATATAGTTCACACGTCTTTTGACCATAATTAGACTGTTGTGTACATCCTTTAAAGGTTATATATTACGCAAAACTGACTCGTGAGCTTTTAGCCATGTTATAATGATGTTACCTCCTCAAAAACAGACCCGGAGTTGTGTTTTGTTTCTTTTTGTTTGAGTAATCCTGTATTATTAGGCTTTCTGCATCTCCAAAGATGGTGATGGTAGTTTTAAAGTTAACAGCTATTTGTAGCCTCAATTAAACTGAGTAGAATAACTTTGTTGTTATTTTTATTTTTTTTATATTTTTGTTTTACCTTTTGTACAGTCTATAATATCTGCTGGTGCTACGAGGAATGAAGTTATGAGGCTAAAACAAATGCTGTAACATCAACGTTCCAACACAATGGAGCACTTCCTGTATTACTACTTCATGACGTCACAAGGATGAACTGAGTGTTTTCAGTTTGAGAAAAGAACTCAGCCTAAATATACAGGGTTTGTGTTAAAATCTTGCAAAACAAAACACAACTCCAGATATGTTTGCAATGAGGAAACAACATTTTAACCCTCTAAACAAAATCAAGCTTTTTGCCTATAAACATGAATTACAAGGTGTGTATTTTAATAAAGGGGGTAATAATATTTTAAAGTAACTTGATAATTATTCCCTTACACTGTCCTGGTAGTAAAATACGTACATCCTGTACCATTTTTAGCTGTGGGGGTTAGGTAAGAACACCGTGGATTAGAAGTCATGTCTATTTCACAGACTAAAGCTTTTCCACTGCTAAGCTTGAACTTCGGGAACAAATCAGGACAACTTATTCCATGAAAATCCAACATACCTTAAATATTGTCTCCATTTCATCCCTGTCTATTTTTCCGTTCCCGTCTTGATCAAAAAGCTTGAAGTACCATTTGAGTTTTTGGTTGATTTCTCCTTTGAGGAGTAAGCTTATGGCTGCGATGTATTCCACAAAGTTTATATACCCGTCCTGTAAGAAGCAAAAAATATCATACAGGAGTTAGTGCAAGGAGTATTAATTTCTATGGCAATGTTTGAATCAAAATACAGAAAAATTACTCAATAGTTGACCCATGCCAAAATCTTGTTTCTGAAATTTGTTTGTAAGAAAACAGCTTATTTGGTTTACTATTTTTGTTTCAATTTTCCTGTTTTGGTGCCATTTTGAGGACTATTCTAAAGATTTATTATTTTCTTAATTGCTATGTTAACAGTCTTGATTTTTCATCATTCTGAAACTCATGGATAATATGTGCAGATAGTAATAATATAATAATAAGAAGAATAGTAGCAATGAAAAGATGTTCAAAGCACCCGGCAAATGTGTACTACTAATTATGTAACTGTGCTTGACTACATATAATCCCCAACCTGTACTGCTATACTACAATATATTCACTCAATCGTTATTCATTTCTAGGACAAGTGACTTTTGTTCAGATTTTAAAGCCAAATTATGACCAGTATCAACCAGCATCAATGATACTAAGACAAAGACACCATTGCAAACATGAAGCTTAGGCCTGTTGTACAGTCACAAACCTGCACTGCTGCTTTTCAAATCACAGAATCAAAGCTACAAATTAAAATTTCAGGATGGTACAGTGAGTTTCTTATGTGATTCCAATGTGATTGGATGCTGTGGATGGTTGCAGAGGTTGCCTTACCCCGTCCATGTCGAATGTGAAGAAGACTTGGTCCACATAGCTACTGGCCTCCTCGGTCATACCGGTCATTTCCAGCATCGATTTGAGCTCAAACAGCGTGATGAGGCCGGACGGAGACTCCTTCATGAACTTGGTGTACCAGTGGTGCATGTCCTCCTCCAGGATGTCGTCCAGGCTGGAGCTGTGGGAGCCCATGATGATCCAGAGACAGGGGCAGCAGTGCTCTGAATCCTGGGCAGGTAAGGACGGACTGAAGCCTCACGCAAGAGTGACCTTTAATCTTTAAGTCTTGATCGTCCCAAAGCAGAGATAACCCGCTAATGGGATAAGGCTTCCTAGAAGAGGACTGCTTGGCACACTCACAGACTCGGCGGGAGGTGAGTTTCCACAGCAACTGATGGGGAGAAATAGTACATATATTCTGGTAGTAGAAAAAGAATAAATGTGCACAGAAAAATTTTATATGACTTCATAAAAAACACAAAATTAAACAATTCTAACAGTTCATTACTTTAGTGGCAGCCAATTTTTTTTTTTTAATAATCACTAAAATTACAATTATTATTCAATTAATATAATAATAATTGAATGTGTATCAAGAAAAGTCTATATAAATGGATCAATAGTGCAATATTAAATAGTAATCATATCTTCATATAATTTTAAATGCATTTAAATGTAAATATAAATAAAGAATTTCTTACCCATAATGCATATTAGTACCAAAATTAGGTTGTAAATTTTTCTTTACATTATTTACATTACATTTTTAACACAAAATGAGTAATTAAATACTATGGTTTAAGCTTGAGTTAACCTAGACTATTTGTGCTTGACACATTTTGGTCTTTAGTGGAACTCCTCTGGGATTTACCTCCGGGGGTTTCCTTTCCGTACAACTATAATCCTGCTATTTCTGTTCTCCTGCATATTACAAGCTCCTTATAAAATTACATAAAATAAAACACAAGCTATTATTATTCACCTGTATTCACCAGCACGTGTATTTTTGGAGCCGTGGGTTAAGTATAGCCTCGTTGTATCAGTGTACATAATGATAAGAATAGCTCACAGGTCAGTAACCCATAACTCACATTCATCTGCTCACAACTCCAGCTCGCAGGGACTTTAAAAAATGCTTACCACTTTTTATTCATTCATATAAAATCCAAATTTCCCTAACATATTTTTAAGAAAGACAGTAAATCAACCAGCACTGTTTAATTTTAACTTCATGACGACTTCTAACGCAATCTGATCTTCAGTTTTGTAAAAATATTCAACTGAAATGTATTCATACTATTGGCAATACTCTTCCTTACACATGCCCTTTAGAATCATTTTGTTGCTTGCTTATATGCCCCCTAATAATGTATTATTTTTGTTTTTATTGATCAAATAAGGTAAAACAGTGCACCTGACCAATGCCTGACCCAAGAGTGAGTGCATGGGGGACCTGAATGGCTCGTGCTAATGGAGTTCCTGCAGTGGTAGTAGGTCGGAGTCGGAGAGGTGCTTATATTAGCAAATCTGGCTTCAAACGATTACCTGCACTTAAAATAGGACGGCGTGAAGGCCCACCCACAGCAGTTACGAAGAAGTACCGGAGTTAACGAGTCCATGGAGCGATCAGGCTGGCACTGCATGGTAGAACCTGGTGCCAGTGATTACACAAAACATTTGGGTGTTATATTGATCAAGAGAACTCAGACCGACCTTGAAAAGCAGCTTAGCACGCCTGAGTCTGCACTCTGTGGATAAATAAAAGCTTGTGTTTACTTTGGCTCATATCATCACATTATTATGAATCTTTATGAGCACTGTATGAAGAGAACTCAGACCAAGAAAAAGAAGAAGTCATTCAAATAGACTTACCTGTGCAAACACATTATGATAAGCACACCACAATGTTTAAACACAAAGCAGCAGCAGTAAAGATGCAATCCAGTCCAATCCAGTTTTATTTGTATAGCACATTTTACTAACACAAAGTCCCTAAAGTGCTGCGCAGAGTAGGGACAATATAAATTAAATTACAAATTGAAATAGTATTTAACTAAACATAAATAGCCTATACGATAAAAACTGAACTGTTCAAAATGACTAAATGAATGAATAAAGCCATTTCACCTGTGAAATTCAAAGTCACTCTAAACATAAGTGTATACTGTATTTTAGCAGTGATTTCATTATAAATATAATATAAATGCTTTCATCTAAATTATTGTTTGTAGTTTGTAGATAAAATGCAAAAGTAGATTAACATGACTTCTGCAATTGTAATGCATCTCTACATTTTTTATTATACGATACATATGTACATGAAATTGACACTGTAATTGTTGCATTTTATAGAACCCAAGAACAGTAGCACCAGACTCCCACTCGAGTGAACGCTAATGTAGATCCAAATTAAAGAATTAGCATCTAAGTAAAACAGTCTTACTGTCTATTCACAGGATTAAATTCTGTCTTTCCACGTATCAAGGATTCAAGATTAAGTCTTTAAAGTTATCTTACGCAGTTGGCAATTTGGCACACTATTTGTTTACAAAGTGGATTTATGATTGCAAGAATCATTATATTCATAGTGTATCAAATCAAATCAAATTTTCTTTTTAAGTGAGTGCAGTGTCTGTTTCCATTTTTTGTTTAAACAAAAGTCATCACTGATGTGTAAGTGTGACTCTTTACTCCCATTCATTCACCTGGAGCCCTAATCTGATTGAGGCCTTGTTAGAGTCTCCACGTTAACTGTCAATGCTGAGTCAGTTTGACGCACTTGTTATAACCAGATTCAAAAGGTGACAGGTTCACAGCATTAAACACAATGACCTAAACTCTGCTATCCGGAGGAAGCTGAGGACAACTGATCCACGCCGCTTTGTGCTGTGGATGTGGAGCCTGGACCCACTCGCCTCAGGCCCAAGGATACAATTCAACTGGACCAAAACCTCTCGCCACAAGAACAGACTCGTTTTGTTTTTCCAGACACTCCAAGTCGCTTTACAATTTGGCGCATTATTCATTCACTCCACACTCAGTACTGGCAAGCCACGACTGTAGCCACAACTGCCCTGGGGCAGATCATCAGAGATGCAGCTGCTACTCTGCCCATCGGCCCTTCCAACCACCACATTCATACTGGGCAATGTGGGTGAAGTGTCTTGCCTAAGGACACATCAACAGTTTTTCCTATACTGTATATTTTGTATTTGAATATTAAAGTCTATTTATTTCCCTTATTTAATCAACACATTTACGGTTATTATTATTTGTTTTATTTTGAACAATAACATTGAGGCGAGTTCCTAGTTTGTGAATTTTATTCATTGACAAATACAATGAAATGTATTATGCTTTTTTTCTGATTTCTCTTTAGTTTAGTTTCGATGAGCAGCAGCTCCAATGACAAAGTCTGAACTGAGGAAATGAGGCCAGAGAGTTTCCCCGGCCACAAGTCTCCAATGTGGGGCTAATCCAATTTACTTAATAGAATTTACTAGTGAGTAAAGTAAAAATAATACAAAAAATTTGCAAATTAAATGATGTAATTATGAAACGTGTAATTATGAATAATGTGCTGCTGAGACTTTCATATCTCATATTGTATTTGCATCAGTTACAGCTGTGCTCGTTGTTCTTATTATCCCACATTTGTCTTTAAAGGATTCTTTAACCTTGAGCAGTAGCTCCCTCTAGTGTTGAAAACAAACACCCACAGACTGTTAAACAAAAAAGCTTTATGTAAAAAAAAAGAATATAAAAAGTTGGCACAATTGTCATAACAGTTGTTCACGAACACGAATGATCCATTTCCCTTTAAAGTCTTTTTTTAAAATATATATCTGTCCAGGAATTAATTGGACTTAACTGCACAGATGTCCACATGGTAATGACACATTATAAAAAGTTTTCATGTAAACTCATCCTGCCATGAGAACAGCATTCACATTCATATAAAAATATACAGTGTTAATTATGAAAATAAAACATTGTGATTTCTCTCATTTTTGGAATATATATATATATATATACAAATGCTAAAGCCCCTTTGAATGCACAGAATAATTTCACCAGCAAAAATAAATACATTTTTATACATGTGCTTTCATTTTGATTATGAATACATTAGAACACTTACTTACAACACATACAACACTTGGCACTACCGGATTTCTTTCGCTTCATGGTAAACTTCCCAGAGGCTGTGGGCCATAAATGCACATACACACACACTATTGTGTAATGTCTTTGTGGTTAGTGCAGACAGATCCAGTGACTGGCCTGTGACCTGTCTGTGGTCTGTTGCTAACATGCACTGGAGCCTGTTCCCACATGATAACCTGACACCAACCAGTCAGGTGTATGCAGCGAGAAACACCATTACACTTCCTCTGTAATCCTCAAATGGCAACTTTACAAATTGATACCACAAACTGATACAAAAACATGACAATAACGTTCTAGGAGCAGCATCACATTATCAGCTTTACAAATTATAATGAATAGAATATAGGTTAGTGTTTAGTTTCAGATTTAGGTGGTAGATAAAAAAAATGACCTGGTTTATGGTTCAAAATTTAAAGGTGCATTGTGTAACTTTTCTGGTGGAAATAATTTTCTTACTTTCATGGAGATGTTATTGCTTTGTCTGAAATGTTTCACAGTATGGTTTTAAACTTTTCTATCATCATGGAGACCAAACTGAACCAAGTTACAGGTTTTTTCATGTATTTCTGAGCTATAAAACCACATGTAATTGAATAAATGTATAAGTATACTGATATTGGATTCAAACGTAAATAAAGGTGTATTGCGTAACTTTTCTGGTGGTGGTGGAGGGTCCGTCACCTACTTGTTTCTATGGATACGTCGCTGCTTTGTCGGGAATGTTCCACAGTGTGATATTAAACTGTTTTGCCTCATATTTATTCAATTACAGGTGGTTTTATAGCTCAAAAATCGTTAGAAAAACAGGGATACAGACTGTGAGCAGGGTCGCCTCTCCACAGATCTGACCTGTAACTTGGTCTGGTTTGGTCTCCATGACGATAGAAACATTCCAGAAAGTTCCACAGTGCACAAACCAAAAAGTTACACAGTGCACCAATTTAATTTAGAAGAATAATATACCAAATGTTTGGACCCAATGCCAAAGTTTGACAATTTGGTCGCAATGTTTGGAATATTTACAAAAAAAATTTAAATAAAATACATGTTTACAAGTCTGTTACACTGTTAAATTTGCACTTTAACCTGAACTGTAGTTATAAATGTAATGTAAATGGTAGGGCTGTAACAATAATCAAAGTATTGTATCAAAGTTCTCACAGTGGTATTGTGGGCCATCACAGTATACTGAATTACAAGTCTGTCTGCTTGAATTCATTATTATGGGGCAGCAATAGCTAAAAATAAAATGAGGAACTCCATATACAATGATTTTTTCTCCTTTGTTTCAGCAGAGAGAGCATGAAGAAATAACTGTCAATAAGCGCATCGTTCTGTGGAGTATGATTCACACCAACGTCAAGTTACATTTCTGCTATTCTCGTAAACTGCGTATTCTATAACTTCTACTTAATTTGGCAGAATAATACCTGTTGTAAATACACAGTAAGTTATAGTTTTACATGAATCAAGAAGCAATTTGCGAAGAAAAGTTGAGAAACTATGTTGAAAATGAAGTGAAGAGGAAGTGGAGAGTTCTATTTTAGATATTTCCATTCGATGATGCCAACTAGGGAGAATTTAATCCAAAAGTATGACACAATTAAACGCAAGAAAATGTCTGTGATACTTTTAACATTATTTCAGTAAAATAAAGGTGTTTCTTATAATTGTATTTGTGTATGTTAGAGGAATTTTGGCTCCTAACCTAAAAAAAATTGACAAACAGTAAGATTAATTACCATTGTAAATGTATAAATTTGATGCCTAATTTTGTGCACTAAAAATGGCTGAAGGTTTATGTTTTATAGGCATCTACCTGTACTTTATCTAAGGCTTAAATGGCTCTTATATTTACTCTAAACACTGAAATTTGTAGCTGTGGTATTTTTATTTTCTAATAGTGGCTCATCGAAGGAAAAAGATCCTCTAGTCTAACAGCTTAGAGCTTGGAGATACTGCATTGGACTTGTTTTCATATTTTCAAATGTAAACCAGTTACGTCTTTCAGGGTCTGATGCAAGGACTGTTTAAATTAGGATAGAGTTTGAGCATTTTTTGTTTGTAACCACACTAGATATGTTTAGAGAAGTGGTCTCTATGTACATGTGGTCGGATGGGTCTAGTTCCTGGTCATATAGAAACTGTCGGAGCACGTTGTATACCATCTCTTTGCTCAGAGTGAAGTGCTCTAGCTGACCCCCCTCCTCCTCCTCAGGCATCCGGAACATCAGGCGGAACAGAGCAGTGACCGGGCCATCGCTGCGGGACGGCAAAAAGAGAGAGAAATCATTAAGTATAGTTATAGTGGATTCTAGAGATATAACAATAACCGAAATATCGTTATATCGTATCGTCAAAGTTCTCACAATAATATCGTGGACCATCACAATATATCGAATTACAAGTCTCTTTGCTTAAATTAAGACTTATGGTGCAGCAAGAGCTAAAAAAGACAGAGGGAACTACATAGACCATGATCCTTTGCTCCATTTCAGTGCAGACTACAAGAAGAAATAACACTTTTAAGCATTTTTAAGTCTTAGTTGTTTGGATTAAGTCTTGTCAAGGCATTTTAAGAGGAAAAAGTCGCATATTCAGAGTTTTGTTAGCCTCTACAAAATATCACAATAAATACCGTACTATGAGATGTATATTGTGAAAATATCGTACCGAAAGATTTGAATATCATTACATATTGAACCTCCCCATGATATCGCCATAAATATCATACCGAGAGATTTGGATATTGTTACATTGTCAGCTTCCCCACGATATCGCAATAAATATCGTACCAAGACATGTATATCCTGAAAATATCATACCGAGAGATTTGGATATCATTACATCGTGAGCCTCCCCATGATATCGCAATAACTATCGTACCCTGAGATGTATATCGTGAAAATATCATACCGAGAGATTTGGATATTATTACATTGTCAGCTTCCCCACGATATCACAATAAATATCGTACCAAGAGATGTATATCGTGAAAATATCGTACCGAGAGATTTGGATATTGTTACATCGTGAGCCTCCCCATGATTTTGCGATAAATATCGTACCGTGAGGTTCATACTGTGACGATATCGTATCGTGAGACTTGGCTATCGTTACACCCCTAGTGGATTCAAATGTTAAATAAAGGTGTATTGTGTAACATTTCTTGTGATGGTGGAGGGTCCGTCACCTGCTTGTTTCTATGGATAGGTCCCTGCTCTCTGGAATGTTCCACAGTATGATATTAAACTGTTCTACTTTATGGATCTAGTCACCATGAAGACAGAAACATTCCAGACAAAGCAGTAACATCTCACTGAAGAAAAGTATTTGACAGACCCTCCACCAGAAAAGACAAAATGCAACTTTAAATACACAATGCAACTTTAAAGTTTCAACCATAAACCAGCTCATTTGTTTTATCTACAACCTCATGAAGCTAGAAAGGTTTAATACCATAGTGTAAAACATTTAATAACATAGTATAAAACTTTCCAGACAAGGCAATAACATCTCCATGGAGAAAAACATTTGACGAACCATCCAGCAGAAAAGTTACACAATGCACCTTGAAGGCAGTGACAAAACAAATATTGACAAATTGTGTTGATTTAATTGGAACTGGAAAAAAGGTGGCGCCCTCTCCAGGTGGGTGGAGGAGTAGTTTCCAAATTGGTGTTGTTTAAAGGTGCTTCGTGTAAATTTTCTGGTGGAGGGTCTGTCAAATGCTTTTCTCCATGGAGATGTTATTGCTTTATCTGGAATGTTTCACAGTATGACATTAAATCTTTCAAAACAGACCAAGTTACAGGTTAGATTTTGAACTACAAAACAACCTGTAATTGAATAAATGTAAGGTAGTGCAACCAAAAAGTTACATAATGCACCTTTGAGTAGAGATATTGTTCCTTTAATATCCTGATAAAAGCCACAATATCATCTTGTTATTATAAGTCTTATGTCGTTACTGTAAATGAGATTAAACTATAATTCCCAACCAAGCTTTAAATCCTTATGAACCAGTAGAGATTACCTGAACTCGTATATTTGGCTCTTTATGAAGTATCTTCCCAGGGCGGGAGAGTCTCTGTACAGGACGTTCAGCTGAAGGGAGAGGCAAAAGTACACAAACCATTACATGTTTTGGATAACATCTTTACAGCACTTCAGGCAAAAAGTCAAGTAAAAGTTAAACTTAAAGTAAACGAGTCATAAGAAAGAAATCAGCATAAGTAAAAGTATTAAAGTACCTGTTTAGAGTAAAAAGTAAAGGTTTTTCACACAGATTTGGATAAAGTGCTGTTCAGTTGTTAAAGTGATAAGTGTAGTGAAATTGATTAAAAATTATATAGATTTAAGTGAACAGTGTCAATACGAATAAAAAAGAAAAAAGGACAAGAAAAGATGCTTGAAAACATGATTAGAGAGAAGATGTATTGTTCTATTAAGATAAATAAATAAATGTCTGTGATTTTATCAGCAAAGAACTTAAAACACAAATGAAATGTGTGACCCCACCCAATATATACATAATTTTCTTATGAATTTTGTGTATAAGTACATATTTTTGTTTGCTGAAAGCCAATGTTTGAACTCAAAAGCTTTACTTTACTCAGGATATAAACACAAACAAACACAACACAAAATTGTGAAAATAACCCCTAAAATCATATGAAAAGTACTTTTACTTTTCAGTCCATGTTAAAAAATTTTTAAAAAGTGGAGTCAAAAGTACAGATACATGTTTTCAAATGTAGTGAAGTAAAAGTAAAAAGTATCCACTGTAAAATGTACTTAAGTAAAGTATAGATACCTAAAATTTTACTTAAGTACAGTATTTTACTACTACAGCTTGCAAAAATGAACTCACCACTGTATCCCTATTTTAAAAGTAGCCTACTGTCTGACCACTTTAATTTCTCAGCTAATTTGAAGTTCAAAATAAAGTTTGTACTACACAGCGAGCAGGGAGGAGGAATGGGTTAATATTTTACCAGTGCACTCAAATATGTTTGTGCTGCCTTATTGTTTACCACTAGTAGACAGAGTCACATTTCATTCGTGTTTTATTTATGTTTTAAGCTGCAGCTGTTTCCTATTCTCTATTTCCGTCATTATAATAAAAGAAATTACCTATACTGTGCCCGGAAATGTAAAATTTAATAGGAGTATTATGTAACTTTTCTGGTGGAGGGTTCGTCACCTGCTTGTTTCTATGGATATGTCATTGCTCTGCCTGGAATGTTCCACAGTATGACTTTAAACAGCTACATCTTACATTTATTAAAATACAGGTGTTTTATAGCTCAAAAAGATCTAGAAAAACAAACATTTGGCATTCTGACTGTGAGCGAGGTTGCTTCGCCACAGATCTGACCTCTAATTTGGTCTAGTTTGGTCTCCATGACGATAGAAAGGTTTAATGCCATACTGTGAAACATTCCAGACAAAGCAATAACAGCTCCATGGAGAAAAGTTACACAATTCACCTTTAAAGTGCCTATCACACTTAGGATTACTAATTTTACTAAACTAAATTTAAGATTTAGCAAAAAAAAAATCTCTGGGGAACTGTTACCTAGCTGCCAATATAAGAAAACCCCTTTATTTGGATGAAATGATGTTTAACGCATAAGAAAAATGTGTTTCTTGTAAACTGTGCCAAACCTTTGGAAAGAATTCCCCTTAGGATGATGTCATGAACAAAAGTTATAATTACACTATTAAAAATGAATGACATCACCTTTATTTTATTACATCACAGTTTAAACTATGAGTATTCCTGTATTTTTGTACTTTTTTTCTCAACTTTTGAACCTGGAATGTTCCACAGTATGACATTAAACAGATCTACCTTACATTTATTCAATTACAAGTGGTTTTATAGCCCCAAAATACTGGGGAAAAAAAGCATTTTGACTGTGAGCGGGGTCGCCTCTCCACAGATCTGACCTGTAACTTGGTCTGGTTTGGTTTCCATGAAGATAGAAACGTTTAATGCCATACTTTGAAACATTCCAGACAAAGCAATAACATCTCCATGGACAAAAGTTAAACAATGCACCTATGACACTTTGGATTACCAATTTTATGAAACTAAATTTAAGATTTTTCTAAAATTTAAAAACATACGTATATATATTTGGGGGAACCTAGCCGCCAATATAAGAAAACCCCTTTATTTGGTTGAAATGATGTTTGAGGTATCAGAAAAATGTGTTTCCTGTAAACTGTGCCAAACCTTTGGAAAGAATTCCCCTTAGTTATAATTACACTATTAAAACTGAATGACATCACCTTTATTTTGTTACATCATGGTTTAAACTATGAGTATTCCTGTATTTTTGTACTTTTTTCTCAACTTTTTTATCCACAAACTGACACTTAATGCTGCATTGTGTAACTTTTCTAGTGGAGGGTCCATCAAATGCTTTTCTCCATGGATATGCCATTGCTCTGCCTGGAATGTTCCGCAGTGTGACATTAAACAGCTTTACCTTACATTTACTCAATTACAAGTGGTTTTATAGCCCCAAAATACTGGGGAAAAAAAGCATTCTGACTGTGAGCGGGGTCGCCTCTCCACAGATCTGACCTGTAACTTGGTCTGGTTTGGTTTCCATGAAGTTAGAAAGGTTACTGCTTCATCTGAAATGTTTCACAATATAGTATTAGCCCTTTGTGCTTCATGGAAACCAAACCACAGACCAAACCAGACCAAGTTACAGGTCAGATCTGTTGGAGAGGTGACTCACGGAGACCCACTGTTGGAGAGGTGACTCACGGTCAGAATGCCGTTTTGTCCAGTATTTTTGAGCTATAAAACCACTTGTAATTGAATAAATGTAAAGTAGAGCTGTTTAATGTCATACTGTGGAACATTCCAGGCAGAGCAAGTGACAGACGCACACCTAAAAGTTACGCAATGCACCTTTAACTGATGTAAACGATCATAAATACTGACCACAGGGGCTGTCACACTAAACCATGTATTAGAAAAACATGAAACATAAAAGATAGATATGATTTTATTGTTATTATAATAGCCGTAATGATCACAAATGCATTAATTAGTCTACTTTCTGTTTGTTCATGTAACCTATGTTGACTTTCCTTTTCATTTTCTTTATTATTAATTTGACTGACATGCTAAAGACAAACAGTTATTAAATACACACCTTATTTTCCAGTTCCCTGGTGAGCGACTGACTCCCATCGGACGTCAGGTTTGGAAGCTCTTCTGAGGAATTGAAATTGGGCAGCTGGACACTCCCACTGAAGTCTCTGCACATACCAAACTGCGTGGGATCATATTTATCATCAATGTCTTCATACAGGGCTGCGAAGAAAAAGAAAGTGGAACTGAAACTTCCCTTTTAACAATGAGCACACCGCAAGATTCCCCAGTTTAGAGTAATAGCAACACAACGTGACCTGCCATTTGACTGTGTGACCTTAGTATCACACCTTACTGTCAGCACTTCCTCAAAAATGCCCTTCTTGGTTAAGATAAGTGCACTGAACGTAATATATAGTCATTAAAAATGCACTATGTAACTTTCTGGTTGAGGGTCGTTTTTATCTCCAAGGTTATATTACTGCTTTCTCTTAAATATTCTTACAATATGGCATTAAACGTATCTATCTTATGGCTCGTTTCTCCAGAGATCTGACCTGTAACTTGGCCTGTCTCCATGGAGGTAGATACGTTTAATGACATACTGTGGAACATTCCAGGCAAAGCAATAACATCTCCACGGTATGAGCAGGTTCAACAGAAAAGTTACATCCAGAATACACATTTCTTCACGAAAATACGAATCTGAACGGCAGAGAAATGAGCGTGACTGACAGGTGGATTAGCCAATCAGGCGCAAAAAAATAAATAAATAAAGGGAAAAAATGTCAAATTGGACTGAAAAACATGGCGAATTTCTGCAGAATCGATGTGTGAGGGGTAGGGATGTAACAGTAACTGAAATATCATGATATTGTATCGTCAAAAGCCTCTCAGTAGTACCGTGGGCTGTCACAATTTATCAAATCACAAGTTCCTTTGCTTAAATACATGAATTATCGTAGCAACAGCTTATAAATATATGTAACTACATTTCCCATGATTCATTTCAGTGCAGGCAACATGAAGAAATATGTTTTTTACTTGAATTCTTGGGATTATGATGGAAATAATTCACACCAAAATCTTGTCAAGGTATTTTAAAAGCAAAAAAGTGTCCTATCTACAATTATGTCTGCCTCTTCAAATTATCGCAGTAAATATTGTACCGTGAGATGCATATCGTGATAATATCGTACCGAGAGATTTGGATATTGTTAGATGCCTAGTGAGGGACTGCACCCTGTTAATCTGAGGTGAGATAAATTAGATTTTATTTATAAATGACTGGTGATTAATGAGCTCTTTTCTTCCCATGTATCAACCCAAAAACATGCACCATAAGTAAAAATCTTCCGGCTAAGATCCTGACCGAGCCTAGCAACAAGCTCATGGAGATGGGTCACTGGCCCACTGCTCCTGAAAGGATGGAAGAAATGGAGAGGACATTTTCCCTACGGGGACAATAAAGTAGTAGGAACAAAAGAAAAATACAAATCTGATTGGACGATTATATTAGGTCGAGTTTGAGATGCAACGGAGAACATGGTGACTAAACTGATACCACTAAAAAAATACAGAGCTCTCAATTTATCTAGACAATCGTATTCAGACAATATTATAGCAATCCACCAGACACGCAGCCAGGTGCCACCTAGTGCCTCCGCTCAATTTCATTTCTCTCCAGCAACTAAGTCAGGAATCGGAATATACTAAACGTTTTGCAAGAACCCCGGAAGTTGCAGACCTGCACCGGTCAATCAGGGAAGAGCTGTGAAGCCATGACGTCAAACTCAAGCGCCTGTCTGGGTCCCTTTTGTGGTACAGCATAACAGTAAACAAAGCGGCTGAGATGGATGTAGTCGAAGCCATATATTCTGTGTTGGCAACAATTCCTGAAATCGAGGATATAAACTCAGAACAAAGAGAATGTTTGGTGAATTTTATCAAGGGGAAAGACGTTATTTCCCTTCTTCCTACGGGATTTGGCACATTACATACATCACGACCAAATAGCAACGATTGGTTAAATAAAAAAAGTACCTGCCTACCGTCGGGCGAACGAATCCTAATGCTGCGAGGTCAGACGGTTTCTATGAAGTGAAACCATCTGATGAATCAGGCTACCAGAAAGGGGCTCAAGATCCAAAAGAAGGAAATATAGCAATTTACTTTTTAATTTCAGCTCATCTCCCAAACCTGCCATCTCTAACGGACCAACTCAAGTGTCAAATTGTTTCCAAAACAACAAATAATTCTGCTGTGTAGAGCCGCTTTTTGTGGATTCATTCAAATTAGTGAGAAAATGTGAAACAATAATCATTAAGGAATATATTTACCTCTGCACACGGCCAGTGATATAAAAACTAAGCAAATGACAGTGACTAAAATGAGGATGAGGACCAGCCACAGTGGACAAACTTTGCAAACTTTTTCACGTAGCTCTTTTTTTATCTTGCATGCAACACTTTCCTAGGAAACAAGACAAAAACATAACATTAGTTCAAGGTGATTAGGAGACACACACTGTACATGGGCGTACATTTATCAGAATAAATGTATTAAACTAAACAGACATTAAACAAAAGTATAAATGTGTTTGGAACTCAAAGGTTTTTAATTTCGTGCTTCATTTTGTGCAACCAACCAGTTTTGGTATTATTAGAGTCAAACTTAGACAAACTGTATTCGTCAGTAATACATTCTAAAAAAAAAAAAAAGTAGCAGTTATTATACTTTACTACTTTTAATACTTTGAGTAAACCATATACAGTATTTAAAAATATGTTTAAATGTCCTCTGCTTTGTGGGGAAAATGTAGTGATAAGCCTAAAATGTAAAATTACCAAGTTAAGAACAAAATGAAACTGACTCATACTATAAATACTTGTTAATACATAAAACATGTGTCTAATAATGTCCAACCTTTTGATTGTTTGGGATTCTTTGAGCTTCAGGATCAGGATCAGGCCCATTGATTCCCACTGCATTTCCATTACCGGTGCCAACATTCTGCAAAGTAAATAAAAGGACACGAATAATAATCATAACAATAACTGTGCAGTCCTAAAATAAACACAATGGATCAAAGGCTCACCTCTAGCAGCGTTTCTGATTCTTCCGTTCTTCCTGGAGGACCATCTATACAATCCTGTAAAAAAAAACCCTCAAATGAATATAATGTTGTGACCAGCTAATTTACGCAGTGGTCACGTACTGTGGCACTCACCTGTCCATTTACGCGCGGTGCTGCGTCGTTTCCATTCGGCACACTTACCATTTCGATGTCAACGATAAATGTATTTGCCATGGTTAGTTTCCCAAAGCAACATAAGTTATTCCACTGGTATCTCGTCGCCTTGGGGAGAGTTTGAACCCGGAACTATCTTGCGCGTAAAACTGTGGCACCGTCAACATCCAAGACCAGCCACCTTAGCGATTCCGTCAAATGCGCTTAACTTGACGTTGTTTTATGGGCGATAAGTCCTCGGGTTTTGGGGGTGTCTTCTCCATTGACACCTCCACGGACCAGGTGAGTTTTCCCTGTGACGGGTTTCGGGACGGGACAGGCAGGCTGACGCAGGAAGAAGGCGTTGTCAGCTGTAAAGGTATTTGTGGGAGTCTGTTCGCATGAGCAGATACTTGTGCAGATTTCCCACTGACGCCTGCTGCGAAAGGAACCACTGGGCGTAAAGCGGCCAAATTTAAGAGTGGGATATTAGCTGTTTGGAAAATAAAGGGAACCCACTTGTCCTCTGTTATTCTGTGTCAATGTATATCCTGTTTGTTAAGAGCGGAACTTTTATTTGTTTAAACCTGTCGTAGTCATTTGAGTATTGAGTAATAACAGAGTATGAGGCCAACTTTACGCACAGACATTATCTATATGGCAATCTTTAGTCCAAATGACACACCGAGAACTCATACTGTGCTGTGGAGCTGTTCTACATCTATTTCTACGACGAAATATTCAGTAGTTACCATGGTGACACAATTCACACATGAGCAAACACAAGCAAAAAGTTTTAAGATAGTCTGAAACTCAAGAAATAAAAAAAAACAAAATGGATTTAAACACATTTTCTGGAGCTTTTGACCAATAGAAAATAGTTCACACTCCTCTTAAGGTGTTTAATTTTCAACAGGAATGGAGTGACTAATTTAGAAACTGTTGTTGAGTAATGCTGGCCAGTTTGTGATTGTAATTTTATGTGTGAGACTGTGCTCAGATTAAAGTCTAATTTAATTAACAGGACTTCAGAATGAGTCGTCTCTTCAGCGGTGGTAGAGTTGGCAATTTGGGGGTCCTAGGCGAACTTCAGTTTGGGGCCCTCACTATAATGCACAGTTTTGTTGTATTTGTATTTTTTTATATTTATTGTCTGTTTTTTTCCCATTGTTCATGAGACGCACACATCTTTATTTGAATTAGGATAGATTGGAAACTTGTCTTATTAGTTTGGTCGCAACTAAATAACCAGAGCTGAAAGTAGTTTTATTTTTTGCTAGTACAATTACATTTTTGTTTACATCCATAACATATGATTATGATTATGTTCAAATCAGGGTCAAGCTGACAAGTCCATTCTAACGTGAAAGGGGGGATACTTTGACAATTAAAATAAATTTGACAATCAGATACTATTTCGGTGGTGTTTTCTTGTTTTAAAGTAAACCACTCTCATTTAAAGTCATATTGAGAGAAAATCAAATTGCTCTGAGGCCTTGGCCATTAGTGACACTGAGTTCAATTGGATGGGAGCCCCTCCAGGTTCGGGGCCCTAGTGGTAGCGCCACCTCTGACTTTCAGTTTGCATCACACCTCCAGGGAATGTGGATAACATCACCTGAAAAGTATCAATAGCCGAGAAGGATAGATACCTAAAAACTGTACTTAAATATAGTGTCACCATGCTTTACTTTAGCCCTTCACTATGCAAACTCCAAACAAATTATATGTGGTGTCCTGTACACAACAAAGCAACTAATTTACATTTACATAGTCCACTTACAGCTAAGTGCACTGTTCTTTGCATAAGTGACCACACGCAGAGCCACAATGACTAGAGATAAACTGTTCACACTACACTATTTTTTAGGAGGGAGGGGTCCACTACTTGCTTGTTTTTTGGGGGATGTTATTACTTTACCTGTAATGTTCCACAAACATAGAGACTCATCTGGCTTGCATTTATTCACTTACATGTGTTTTCTTACTAAAAAAACAAACAAAAAGTCATAAAAATGTGCATTCTGATAGTGAATGTGTGTGGAAGGGGTCAACTCTCTCTAGATCTGACCTGAAACACCTCCATTGGTCTTCATTGAGATAGATGGACAGAATGTTCCACAGTATGGCATTAAACCTATGAAAATCGATAACATCTTCATGGAGACAACCATTTCAAAGTTACATAGTGCACCTTTAACTGGACATTTCTACACCACTACATTTTAAAAATGAACTGTAAAAGTAAGAAGTACTTTTCTTTATGGTTTGAGACCTGCTGAAATGGCTGTAACTTATTTTTAGTAAATGTAATTTGAGCAAACCAAATAAACAAAAACAGCTTGAAAAATTTACAAATCATTTGAATCATTTGAATCACAGATCAAAATCAGCTAAATTCTTTATCAAAATCACTACATTTAATGCTTTAATTGTTCTAAAAATCTCTGCAAAATACTTACTTTTTAATGTGATACTTTTACTTTAGTTTTTTTTTTTTTTTTTTTACTTAAGTAACAGAATAGAGTACTTCATCCACCACTGGTAACAGGTGACGCAACTTTATGATGTAAAGTTGTCATGCTTGAAATCACCAGCAGAGGTCGACAAAGCTCCATGTTTTTACACTAATAGTTCACGTTTAAGGGCCAGTATTATGCTATTCTCTAATCAGTAGGGATGTAACAATAACTAAAATATCGTGATATCGTATCGTCAGAAGTCTCACAATAATATCATGGGCTGTCACAATATATCGAATTACAAATTTCTTTGCTTAAATGCATGGTTTTATAGTAGCGACAGCTTATAAACATCAGAAACTACATATCCCATGATTCATTTCAGTGCAGACAACATGAAGAAATATGTTTTTTACTTGAATTCTTGGGATTATGCTGGAAATAATTCACACCAAAATCTTGTCAAGGTATTGTAAAAGCAAAAATGTGTCCCATCTACAATTATATTATCGTGATAATATCGTACCAAGAGATTTGGATATCATTACATCCCTAAAATATGACAATAAATGTATGAAATGACTGGTTAAAGCATTTTTATAATGTCAGTCTTGTTATTATGTATAATATCATAATATCGTGAGCTTTCCTACGATATCGCAAAAAATATCGTTCTATGAGGTTCGTACCATGACAATATCGTATTGTGAGACTTTGATATCGTTACACCCTTACTAATCAGTGTTATAAATAGTTCTTCTCTCAGACAAAAAGTACTCTGTTCCATTTTGTGATGTCATGTGGTAATACAGGAAGCGCTCCACTGTGTTTTCAAATTCCATACACCTTCACTAGAATCATTTAGATAATTTCAACCCAGGAATTTCCAATCACAACTGAACAAAAGCTAAAAGAAGCTGTCAACTTCAAACTATTGCTTTGTGACCTCACAAGGTGGAACAGAGCATTTTGGGCTTTGGAAATGTAGACAGACTAATAATAAAAGATTACTCAAACGTGTGAATGAAACGAAACTCCGAGGAGCTAAATGTTTAAAGCTCATATAGGACGTTTAAACTTGATCAACTAACTCAATTTCTCTCCCAATAACAGACACACACAAAAAACACATAAATATTTGACTCTACACACATTTGTCTTATTTACAACTTTAATCATTTGCATAATTTCGAGGACCTGAGCCGCTCCACAGTGCAGAGGTATAGATACTTTTTGAGTACACAAAATACAGTAAAAGCAAATCTCCAGTAAGCTAGGAATGCAAGGTTCACATGGCCTAGAGCAACAGAAATACAACCAAAAATAAATAGCTGCTAATATGAACTAGTGAAGGACATGTACTCTTGACAATGAGTATAAAATAATTTGTTCATATAAAGAAACGTACGATGTAGACTGATACGGAAGGAGCAGCAGTGAGGTTGGAAACTGCCAGTGTTTTTGACCTGTTCTTAAAAGGGAGACATAGAGAAGTACATAGATATACAGAAAACCAAAACTGCATCAATAAAAAGCTGTCTTAAAAACATTTGAAGTTACATTTGGCTGTGTACATAGCAACATTCTGAGCCGATGGTTTGTTTGGATAAAAGTAGAGATGCACTGATAAAATATACTGATACTTGCCTTGCCTTGCCTTGCCTTGCCTTGCCTACTTAAAAAATCTGAAAAATGCTTAAAAAAATTCTTGCACCAAGTTCAAAATAAATCAGATTATTGTCATAGATAAAGCATATTTGGTAGGATGTGGAAAAAGTCCATCCTGGCACGTGGTACTGACAGAAATGCAGAATATCCGCATTATTAATTAGGGATGAGAGATGTTTAGGCTTTTATAACAGTAATTGTGGTAATCGATATTAATCCGATATTGAAATTTTTGCAGATTTTTGGCACTGGTATTTGTTCTTATGTGACGGATTTGACTTTTTGAACAGACTAATGTGTACAAATTGAAACAGAGGAACAATTAGGCAAAAAATCTGGCTGTATCATAGAGGAAGTGAGCATGGGCACGCTTCTGGCTCCATTGACTCTGGTTTCATTTCGCTATGTATTGAAAAATCATCTCCCCTCTCTTTCTAACTGCTGCTGTCAGGCTCTTCATTTTGGTCTTAAAATGTTTATATTAACCCGCTTTACATGATCATGGTGTTTTTATTTTACTGTTTTGTCTGTAAATCAATTCTATCAGTTCTAATATGGAACTTGGGTCTAAATTCGCTCTGAAACTGCAGCCTCGGTGAGCTTCATTTCACTAAATATGTATTTTTGATCCCACATAAATACATTTTGTTATTATTTTTACCTGATGAAGCCCTAGTGCCGAAACGTTGCACGGTTTGTCCTAATAAATCACACAATTTACAAGTAAGACGGTGTGCGGGATCTTTCTCTAAGTTCTTGGGCTGCTTCCTCTCCTCCAACGCGCTTTTATTATTTTTACAAAAGTGAAAAGTTAACTTGTGAACTTTACTGTACTCTGGGCTTTGCTATGAAAAATCAGCTATAAATATCAGATATCAGCTCAAAAAAAACCCACACAACTCGGACCTTCTCTAATCAATATTGTTATTAAATATCTGGTTCTGTGCATCTCTAACTTAAAGGTGCATTGTGTAACTTTTCTAGTGGAGGGTTCACCATGTGCTTGTCTCCATGGAGATACTGTTGCTTGCTCTGGAATGTCCCGTTGTGGCATTAAATGTATGCATCCATCTTGCATTTACTCAGCAACATGGGTTTTCATTGACCTAAAAACATTCTTACTGTGAGTGGGCTCGCCTCTCCACAGATCTGACACATACAGTAACTTGGCCCTATGGAATCTCCTGCTGTCTCCGTAGAGATAAATAAGCGTAATGCCACACAGTGTAACATTCCAGGCAACATCTCCAATGAGAGAAACAGGTGATAAGACAGGTAAGATGTTTCTCCAGAACAAAAATACTGGTTGTTGTACTGTAACTGGCTGAATATTTGTAGTACTTAAAAAATTGCAGCCGTTGCGATTTGTCGATTGCGTCCGTTCAAATTGTGATCTGACCACTGAAACCTATGACTACCTGCTTATCTGACTTGACGAAATGTACGCAGCTGATATGGTGTGCTGTGAGTCAATAAAAGCATTGAAAAACAAAGCATTTTCACAGTTCACATTCCTTCATTTGCGTCCTTTTCCGCTTCCTCCTCCATCTTCTCCTCGCTCCCCTCGGTCTTATCATCACAGGGCTCCGAGGGGGGCTTCTGCTGTTCCTCTTCCTGTCCCTCTGCCATTTTGCACTCCTCCTCTCCTCTCTCCTCCTCTCCTGTCTTCTCCTCCGACTCTGCTTTCTCTTCTGGACGATCCCTTTTCCCCTCCTCCTCGGCTATCGTGCTGCAGTCTCTGTCTCCATCTCCCTCGTGCTTCTCCTCCACCACCTCCTCCTCCTTCTCGCCCGACCCGCCGGCGGCCTCCTCTGCGGGGCTGTGGGGAACCTGCTCGCCCAGGCCATTCTCGTTGGGTTGGGACTGTTCACACGGGGACGTGGAGCTCCCGGGGGACGTGGGCTCTTCTCCGGTTGATCTGCGGTGCTGCCGGGTGGGAGGGCGGCGTTTGAATGACAGGCGTGGACGGGACTGGGAGAGGGAATGACAAAAAGATAAATGGGGTTAGACAGTGTTTTTATATATTAACTAGTCTGTATCTCCCTCCTAGTGGTGATTCTGGATTAGGAGAGATTTCATTACTGCACTTTGGTAGCTTTTTCAAGAGATTGGTGATTTATTATTTGCATTGATAACAAATAAAAATCACTTATTAGGTGAATTTACTTATCTAGTGTTGTTGTTACTGTCCTGTCTTGCGTACAAGATCATAGCAAGTTTCTTTAAACATTTTACATTCTCTAATTTATCTCATAACAGGGTCAATAGTGGCTGAGTGGTTAAAGCAGTGGTCCCTCAACCCAAAGACTGAAGTCAGGCAAGACACTTCAGTCACCTTGTCTAGTGTGTGAGTGTGTGTGCGTGTGTGTGTGTGTGTGTGTGTGTGTGTGAGTGGCTAACCATCACCGAGTGTGGAGTTAATGAATAATGCACTGTAAAAGCACTTCGGGTGTTTTGAAAGGCGCTATAGCAATCCAAAGCATTATTATAATACATATTCAAATCCTCAGTAATGTAACTGTAAAGTGCTTCATCCCTAAGTAAGTTTTTAGTTCTGCTTTATACTGAAGTCAGCAGCAACAATACATTTTTGGGCACAGAAGCAAGCACACAGTATAAAATTATAAAAAAAATCTCTTAATAATAATGTAAAAGTCCACTCCTGCTCACCCACTGCACCAGCTCACTCTCCAACAGGCTCCTACAGCACCACTCAAACAGTGAGAGATACAGGACTACAGTCATACTATAATACTCCCTACAACTGTACAACAACTCACCCTAATGTAACAGATAATACTCCCTACAACTGTACAACAACTCACCTTTAAGTAACAGATAATACTCCCTACAGCTGTACAACAATTGATCCTTATGTAACAGATAATACTCCCTACAACTGTACAACAACTCACCTTTAAGTAATGAATAATACTCCCTACAACTGTATAACAACTCACCCTTATGTAACAGATAATACTCCCTACAACTGTACAACAACTCACCTTTAAGTAACAGATAATACTCCCTACAACTGTACAACAACTCACCCTTATGCAGCAGATAATACGTCTAAGCTGTGATTAGTTTCAGTGGCTCAAATGTGTTGTCTAAATTAAAAACTATTGAGAGACAAATGAAGATCAGATTATTCCTATTAAAATTATTTTTAGTGGTTAAACCTGTATTTTTTCAGTTTAATTCCATCTCGTGTTCCAGCTCGAGGTCATGAGGTACTCACGCTTATCCCAGCTACAGGAGGCTGAGGCGGGGCAAACGTGCCCTGGACAATGATCAGTAAACGACAGGGATTACAGAGGGAGACACTCCCTCAACAAACAATGCCCTCACAGCACTGTGGCCTTTTACACTCACTCACCTGTGACCCTGTGTGTGTGCAAGAGCCTTTATGAGCTCTTTTAACTGTGACTGGACATGACTTGCTTCCTTAGTGATATTTCTGAAGAAGTTCGTTGCCAGAGCTGATGGCGTGAGTGATTTGGTCAGGAAGGTGCTCAGGGACTTAAACTAGGCTAAAGGGATTATCAGGTGCTCCAGTGCCATGATCCAGGTCCGCTTAAACAGAGGAGTGGATGAGATCCTTTTGAGCTACACGTCAGCAGGACACAACATGTGTCCAGCTATGATATCATCTCTCAACCAGCCAATGGGAGCGCAGCAGTGCGGGGGTCGCAATGTGACCAAAACCACACATTCTTTCTGCTAATCACAGCATTTCTTACTTAGGGCAAAAACTCAATCAAACAAGATCAAATACATTTTTTTTGCATATTTTAAATAAAGTAAAAGCAAAACTGAAAAAAGTATTAACATGTATATATTAATTTTCTATTATTTTAATCTTATTTTAGTCCCTTTTATCCTTGGGTGTTGCAGTAACATAAACAACTGAACTAAAGCGGACAGTACATTTAATGAAATTGCTGATCAATCTGGATCTTTTCATGGTTTTTATCTTCCTGTTTATGGGCACCATGTTGAGCACTATCCACTATATAAAAGATATAATATTTTGTTAGTAGAAGAGTCATTAAAAGTAATAAAAAATTGTCTCTCATTTTCACATTTGCACACACGTTAATATAAATAGGATAGTCTACCTCTTGTAAATGCCTGTATAGCTGTATGTTGAGTGCAGTACCTTGTTGAAGCTGGGCAGAGTGTTCCCCTCTGCTGGCGTCTCGAAGCACACGGGCTCCTCCTCCTCTCCGGGCGGCTGTGGGGGTCTCAGGCCGGGGCTGAGGGGGGTCGGCGGGCTGTGCGAGGTGGGCGGGGACAGGGGCGGCGGCTGCAGCTTCACGTCTGGACTCTTGGGTGAAGGCAGCAGAGCAGTGGGTGACAGAGCTAAGTTGGCCTACAGGGAGAGGGATATTTTCAGGCCTTTTTCTAACTTCTAACATTCAAAACAGTTCACCAATTTGTTTTTTTAGCGGCTATTGTTAAGGCGTGGACGGCAGTGGCTCAGAAGTTAATGTGAGCTGCCCTGGTAACCCATTTACAGAGTGAACCATGACATCAGGACTGCGATTTAGACCACTGTAGGCCCTAAGTTTGACCCAGGGAAGCTATGGCTATTCATGGATATAATATTTTGTTTTGTATTGTAAATTTTTATAGCAATGGTGCAAATTTTTCATCAATCTGAAACCCATGGAAGTATCTTAACACAAGTAGAATGCCTGATTAATTTAAAGGAGTAATTCTCAACCCACCTCAAAGTTTTTACAGACATTATATAGTTGTCCAACTATAAACCTCCTGATCTAAACTACAACAAAACATTCCAGATCTAAACTGGAGTCTAAAATATTATTAATGTTGCCAAAAGTTCTAAATTGGACACAAAGGAATACAGAAAAGTAAATGTATTTGTCTCAGCATATACAAGAATTGCAGTGGGCCCTCAAGTATCATCAACAGGGTATCCCCAGGTTTGAGTACCCCAAATTTAAGACTTTTAAAAGACCTTTTTAAGACCCCTTAAATGAAAATTAAGACCAACATCGCACACATTAGATCCAAATCCAATAATGATGACCAACTACGGTACTATATCTAGAATCTAAGAGCCACTGTGGTTAGGCTAATGAAATGTAAGACCTATGAGAAAAAATAAGACTTGGACAACATAATTTAAGACTTTTTAAGGCCTTAATTTAGGAACATGAAATTTAAGACCTTTTTAAGACCCCTTGGGTCAAGTAGTAAAGAGACTTTAGAGTTTAAAATGCAGTACATTTAAATCGATTGTTCAAAATAAGTTATTAATCCCACACGTGACTTTGATTTGTAAATATTTAAACCCTCCTTAACCCTCTAAGTATCAAAATAAAGCATGAGTAGCCCTGAGAGACCTACCTGCACTGGTGTGAAGAGGAAGAGGGAGAATCGGCAGCCATTCTGACCCATGGCTGCCTCCTTTGTGCCTGGTCACACAGAACATTGTCCTGCCTCATGCTCACTCCTCGCTCCTCATCCCATTAGCTCGTTAATCTGAGCCCATGTGAGCCATAGCAACAGGCCCTGCTCTCTCTATCTGCTCTATCCTCGACATGCCAACGGTACACGCATTGGTGCTGACTCAACACAAGGGGGCAGTGTAGTGTCACAGATCTACCCTTGTGTTCAACAGCCTGTTCTAAATTTTAATGGGGGTTCTGGAGTTTTTCCTTAAATCAGTGGCTCTCAATTTCACACCAAGAACCAGCAAAGTACAGATTTGGCTTTGCAAGTACCTCCAGATCTAAATCAAGTACATAACGGGACTATTCCAGGGCTAAACCAGGTCTAAAAGTGGACTACATCATGAAATATACAATGCAAAAAAGGACAAAAAAGTGGATAAAATTAACTCTAAATTAGACAACTCCAGACTCTGTCACACGCTGTCCAAATACCACCAGAGGGAGCTCAAAAAGTGGTACCACAGTTTGAGAAACAATGTGCCTTTGACAGTTTAGACTACTAATTTAACCAAAACACAGTTAAGATCTTTAAATTTAAGATTCTACTAAAACTTTTATTATTTCAATCCGAGTCTGGGCATTTTTTAGGTTTATGGTGATACTTCCTCTAATGTACACAGAAATTATTATTATTTAACATATAAAACTCTAAGTAAAACACCTGTATTTTGTTGAAATTATGCTTAAAGTATCAGAAAAAAATTGTAAATTGTGCCTAACTTTTGGATAGAATTCTCCTTAATCTGATGTGATCAATACAGAAATAATCTCTAAACTTCTTAACTTCCTTTGCCCCTTTGGACATGAAGGCGTTTTTATTCACACGTTTGTTTTTGGGGGTTTTTTTTCTGTGCATTTGGTAAATGGTGGTGATCTTGTGTGGTGCCTGTTTGCTTACATCTGGGGTTCTGAAGTATTAATAATAATGTAAAAAAAAACTCTCTACTTAGTCAAATTTTCAGGAATTTTTTCAACTTTTCTTCACAAACTGCTTCTTGATTGGTTTAAAACTCTGACTTTACAAAAGATATTATTCTACCAAATTAAGTCGAAATTAAACAAACATCAAAACCTGTCATAGGTACTTTAACTCACAGAATGGACATACCTGTAATTTCTCAATAAGTGCAGAGTTCCGTGTTCTAACTTTCACAGGGTTGGAAGGGGAGATGGGCTTCTGCAAAAAAAAAAAAACAAGTCAGAAAATGATTTAAATACATACGTTTGTTTATAATGAGTCAAGTTCAAGTCTTATGATTCAAGAAGATGATAACAATAGAGCATGACACAGGACTTTCAAGAAGCAAGGGACTTACTGGAGAATCTTCATTATTGTCTTTTTGGTTTTGTAGCTTCAGAGAGCAGGGAGGTCGTCTTCTTCTTGGTGGCTACAAAAAAGAAGACGCACATGCACATTTTATATAATTTAGAACACTCAGTTACAAGTCTCTTTGCTTAAATTAAAAGTTATGGTGCAGCAATAGCTAAAAAAAACAGAGGGGACTACATAGACCATGATCCTTTGTACCGTTTCAATGCAGATTACATGAAGAAATAACAGTTCTAAGCACTTTTAAATCTTACTTCTTTGGGTCAAGGCTTTTTAAGAGGAAAAAGTAGCATATTCACATTTTTTTAGCCTCCACACAGTATCGGAGACGGTTGCTTTGGTTCCCAGACCTCATATCAGTCTACCCCAGGGCAGCTGTGACTATTAAAATAAGTTACCGAAAGAGGGAAGTTAAATGCAATAAATGAAAGTGTGAATCTATTTTGAGTGTCAGGAAAATGGCTACGTAAGACTATCATTATTAAAGGTGCAGTATGTAACTTTTCTGATGGCACGCTTGTCTTCTGCTTGTTTCCATGGAGATGTTAGTGCTACCAGGCCTATGTACAGGTCAGAGGTCTCATTTATAAAACTTTGACTGAAAGAGTAGGGACTAGTGTTGTCACGATAAAATATTTTCAAACTTGATTCCAATACTAAGGAATAGACTCTATACTCAATATTGATCTTCTACAATCATAATAATAAAAAAAAAAAACACTATTTAGAGAAGAGAATGTGAATTTCAGCATTAAATAATAGTGCTTTCTTTAATATTCCTATGTGGTCTTATATGTGTGTAATCCCTCAGTGGTCCAGGTAGGTTCCATAGTTATCCATGGACATATACATGAGGTCTTATGACACAGCTCAAGATCATTCTAAAGCAGGGGTCTCAAACCTTATTTCTCCAGAGAGCTACATTTACAAAACAAAAATGCTACTATTTTCAGCAGTCACAAAGAAACTGAGTACATATAAGAGCCACAGCAAGTCTTAGATGGGGAACAATTAGATGCTTATAAAACATAAACCATTATCCATTTACCGGTGCACCAAATCAGGCATCAATTGCAATCGTAATTAATTAAATTTTAGTTATTATCGACAATACATAGAATTCAGAAATCCTTTGGCGGGCTACTTGGCGGTAGCTCCAGAGCTACACTTTGGAAACCCCTGTTCTACAGCTATTCTGAAAAGGTTCATTTCTGCCTGGTTACTGCGACTTTTTTAGTATCGATACTTGTTCAAAAGAGCATCTAGTTTTGATACTAGTTTAGCATTTATTAGCATCTGATTTGGATGCGTCAATCTGATACTAGTATTGAGTATCATGACTGCTACTGAAAAATTTGCTGAATCGAATATCGGCATCATGATCTTGGAATCATTTACAGAAAGATCTTAAATTGGAACCTATGGTGTCACTTGATAAGTTCAAGTTTTATAATACTTTGTGATTTTTGTATTGATTGTGATTGTGCAACCTTGGCCAGGAGTGGGCAAACTTTTTGACTCGTGGGCCACAAAAGCAGATGGACGGAGTTTTTTGGTAATCCACCTCATAAGAGAAAAAAATAACGGGATATGTAGAAATGGAATATGTAGAAATATGTAGAACTATCTCATGTTATTGAAAATATCCCATCATAAAAAATCATTACGAAGCATTAGAACAAAATATCTGTCTTTCAAGTCCCATGGTATTTACTATTTACTGAAATTACTTTTAAAACACTGAAAATTATTATTATTATTCATGTTTGACGGGCCGGATTTAAAAAAATTAAAGGGCCGCATATGGCCCACGGGCCGTAGTTTGCCCACCCCTGGTCAGGAAGAGATTCTGAATTAAAAAAAAAAAAGTTTCGATATCCTGGTAGGACTTATATTTTCATGTAATGTATTTACTGGTCATAGTTGGCCAGAAAGTTTCTTAATATTTGAACTTTTGTTTATAGAGCTGTTACTGGTTACTTGAGATAAGTAACAGCTACATTTGGATCAGTTTTGTCTTATTTTAATTTAGTTTAAAGGAAATAAATGCTGTTTTCAGTCTCTGCCCTGGTATTGGTTTATATCAGGAATCGGCAGATACTTAAAGCTACAGTATCAGAACTGAAAAAGCTGGATTGGATCGTCCCCAGTATCTGATTTTCAATACTAGCAGGGACAAAACAGAAAACTCACAAACATAGAAACATATTCAGCAGGTTGGAGCAAAAATAAAACTATAATTAAACAATATATAGACTGAAAAGTGCATATTTGAACCTCATACCTCGTCATTTGAAGTGGGCATGGGTAGAATATGTCCTTTGAATCTCCCAGCCAGTTCAGCCACAGATGGTTTGGATGGAGATTCTTTCTGCAGAGGAAACAGATAAAAAAAAACATATGAGAAATGTATGTAGGCTCTAACCATGATCTGCTGACATAACATTTAGCCTCCTGTTCCGCTGGCCAGTGCGGCTCCAGACACTGTTCCTCCTCTGTGGACTCGTGTTGGTACAGGGTAGGTCTTTCCTGCTGAATTATGTATGTCAAATAAAAGCTGGAATGTAGACGGATTCCTGACATGACCCTCTTCATTTCACTTCCCAGATGAAAACCTCCTCGCTGTGTTCGTTTATGATTTTGAAAACAGAAACAGAACGCTAGGCCCTCCACAAACGCTGCCAATTAATTTTAGTCCACGTGTTTTTGTAGTAGATGTAAAATAGATGTGGAATTTGTACTTTTGAGCTCTTACAGATACAACATGTGTGCAATACATAGGTTTAAAAAGAAGAACTACAGTCATACCGAAACTTAGCCAGTGCCTTAAACATCCCATATGACACAAAAATGACTCTTGTGAGAGCTATTCGAGTATTTTTACCTCCTCAAAAACATACCCAGCATTGTATTTTGTTTCATTCACACATGTTTGAGTAATTATTAGTCTGTCTACTAACCTGATTCATCAGCCGGTTTCACTTCGTAGAAACCGTCTGACCTCGCAGTGTTAGATTTCGTTCGCTCGATGGTAGGCGGGTACTTTTTTTCATTTAACCAATCGCTGCTATTTGGTTGTGACGTATGTAATGTGCCGGTAACAGGGCTAACTGGTATATTAAGTGTTTTCAAAATCCCGTAGGAAGAAGAGCAGTGATGTCTTTCCCCTTGATAAAATTCAACAAACATTCTCTTTCTTCCGGCTTTAAATCCTTGATCTCGGGAATCATTGACAACACAGAATGTATGACTCTTCGCTGTTTGGCTGGTGCTCAAACTTGCACTTCTGGCGGTTTTAGGAACCGTCTAGTGTATTCTGATTACTGACCTAGTCGCTGGAGAGAAATTAAATTGAACAGAGGCACTAGGTGGCGCCAGCCTGCCTATCTGTCTACAGCTCCAAAACTCAAAATGCTCTGTTCCACACACTGTACAAATATCATGTAGTGGTACTTTTTAAGTTAACAGCGACCTTTTGCCTTTAGTTCAGAAGAGATGGGCAACTCCAGAGCTGAAAGAAAGATCCAAATCTTAGGCCCTTTGACCTGCAGATAGTCTCTGGACAGGCCCTGCCTCGTGTGAAAGCTCAGAATCTTTAGAATTCACTCACTGAGCTGCAGAGGATTACATTATCATTTTGAGTGAGTTTAAAAAAGATTTTCACAAATTTCAGGTCAGTCACGGTAAAGCAAAAAAAAACTAAACCAACAACAACAACAAATAGATGCTAATAGTGGAATTCCATTAGATGCAGGCAGCAAAGGCCAGTCTCATATTGATCTCAAAAACTGCTTTTACAATATTATCTGTGCTAGAGCAAAGAAAAAACAAACCTCAACTATACGCGAAAGAAAATGGGAAAATAGGTAGAAGAACTTGCAATTTGTTCTTGAGGTTTTAGGGCCTGTTTACACGAGAACGCTTGCAGGTAAAAATGACAAAATATTGTATTAGAAGTGCCTTTCGTTTAGACGGTGACGGCGTTTGGGGGCTTAAAAACACAAAAATCTGAAACCACCCTCAACAGTGGAAAAGTTGAATACACTCCGCCGTAGTGTTTCCGTCTACACTGCCCAAGACGCAAAACTCTGGTCAGATCTGCTCACGTCGCATACGTGTTAATGTCACATACTTCACCACCTAGCGTCACCACCGACCCACCTGGCATTCATACCCAATCGAATTCCACACACTTTTGCATCACCGTATGCACGCAGATTTCCTCCCAAAAATGCTCGTCTAAACACGGAATAAAAAGTTAGAAGACGCGATGCCATTTTTGCATCTTCTATTCAGACCGTCATCATACAAACAGAACACAAGCAGGTGGCAGACCTTCCGGCAGAAAATGTTACATAGTGCTACTATAAGATGGTTAAAAAATAGTGTTTAAACAGTGTATAAGCACTTAAAGCATACAAAAAGTAAATCAAAGAAAGAAAAACTCAACTATATGGAAAAGAAAATGAGTACTGTTCAAGTCATTTAAAAACAATCACAAATAGTTGCTTTTACGATTAAAATGTGCTTCCCTGAACTAGAACAAACTTGCAATTTGTTCTTGTGGTACAAAATTTGTATTCTTCACAACAAAATAAGCATTTTTTTTTTTAATAACAAAAGCAGCACTTTCCCACACTTCTGTATTCACTGCGGTTAAACAAGAGCAGATGGAGACAGACAGCAGATGAGCTGACAAAGCCGTTGCGTATTTAACCACGACCGCCACAGTCTACTCTCCTCGGATAACTGCCTCTGCTCCGGTAGTCCCCTCCGCACAGCTGCTGCCCCTCACCCCGACTGAGGCATCCTTGCAGCCCTGTTATCAGTGTCTCCTCCTCCTCCTCCTCGTTTTCTCTGGCTGTGGTGGGAGCCTTTGAACAGCATTAGCTCAGCGCACATATCTGAAATTGTGTCCGGCCTGATTGCGTTAGGAAGTGGAATGTGCATGCGAGGCGAAGAGTTAAACCAAAAGAGTCGGTCAGTGGAGTTGCAACATTTGTTTACGAGGTTGTGGCAGAAGAGGAGGGCGGTCAAGCACTGATTTCCTGCGCAGTGATTTCTTCGTCTTATTGACAGTCTCTTTTCTTTCTAGGTTTTCACGCGGCATAGACACTACTGCCAGCACATGCAGAGTTTCAGAGAGTCTCATTGCGTCATTTCACAAAACTGGCGCCAAATTTCAACCATTACATAAGGTTACAAACTGATACAGGAGCGTTTCCCACAAGTTTATACTGAGATTATAGTGGCACAACAATCCATATTTGAATCATTTTATAGGCCTTAAAACAATATATGGACAATACATGAGAATAAATCTGACTTTTTGGCTCTGCTGATAAAAAAACAGACTCAATACAAATAAATATTGTTACTTCTATATGTTTAAGACAATACTACAAGCATAAAGTATAGTTAGTTTTGATTTTATTGGAAATATTATTAAAATTATTATCTATTTTTGGAAATTCAGTAACCATAAATAAAATACCAATAATCATTAAGGGTATAAAAGCTGCATCTATATTATATATATATTATATTATATTAACTTTGAGTACAGTGATGTTATTACTATTACTTTACTTGTAATGTTCCACACTATCACATTAAAGATATCTGTGTCCATGGAGACCAGCAGGTGACGCCACCAGGCCAAGTTACTACAAGTCACATCTGCGAAAAGGTGAGTCCACTCAAAGTAAGAATGCACATTTTTCCAAGGTATTTTTGAGCAATACAAAGTAAAACTGAATTGAAAGTTAATGCGAAGCTGGCAACTCAGTAACTTCTCCATATAGACAAGGGCATAAAAGTCTGCACAGTGAACATTTAACATGCATCAGACAGGTGTAACATACTATTTTCACTTCAGTAAAACTCAACTTTCTGGATTCAAGCTTATATACCACAGAACTCATAACTTAAAACCAGATGCAACTTGCCATTTAAATTTAAGATAATTAATGAATCAAAAAAGCACTAATCAGTGTTATAAGTCAAACCTGGTTGGATACAATACTGCCTAAAACATCTATGCCAAGGTAGACAGCATACTTTTATAAAAAACAAACAAAATATGACACCAACAATGTCAAATTCTAGACAAGAGCTGAACGGTCAGGGAAGAACATCTAACTGCAACAAGTTCACAAATGCATGAGAATCCATCTTGAGGTGCACCTGCTATACAGTTTACATTTGACCCAAGCATAGGTCGGCCCAATCATAAAGCTTCTTCAACAGGGGGAGGCGTTTCAGGCAACATGAGGACAACCTTGAGTGCCAGGCCTACACCATAGACTGAGCAAAACAAACATGGCAGCGCCGGAGGATGGTGATTGTGCATACAAACTGCCCTTAATGCACAAATTTGTGTTGCAAAAACAGCTACATTTGTTTATGGACATCTTCCCACTCGAGCATGACACTTGTTTTGGTTTTACCTGCCGCAAGTTGCATACATCATTTTGACAGGTTTGCCGTGATTGGCTTAAAAGAAACTGGTGGGAGGGCACTTCGGGTTTCGTTTGCTCAAGCCATTCTGCTGCAAGTCTCTCCTTTTTCGAAACATTTTCAGTGAGAGCCGCTCCAGATGGATAATGTGTAGAACTCAATTCAGAGTGATACAGATCTCAATCTGGCATTGCAATTTAATTATAACAATTGTGATGTATGCTTAAAAGAATTTAGTTCAAAATTCAGATTTTAAACTTCAATACAAATCTCATTTCAGAACATGTTTGTACAGAGCTAAACTACAGGATGTTTATGAAGAATAAGACAGGATATTTAGTTTTTTGTGAAGGAAATTATGGTACTTCTATCTAAATTGCAGTAATTGTGTCCATTCAGATTGCGTTCTCGATTTGATCACGATTAATCTCACAGACCTATTCTAGACTCTTGCTCACAACAAAAGCTGCTTAACAGCTGAGTTAAAACACAATTTCCTTCTGTTCAAATATTTACTTCTCATTATGTTGTTATATTGATTCCAGCTCTTGTTGCACTTCCATGTTGCACTGATGGAACCTCTGAGCCCATGTTCTTGTTGCTGTTGCTACATTTCCTGGGCGTGTGCTCTCAGTTCCCTCTCTAAACCCTTAACTCTTAAACACATGACAACAACGTTGCTTTATGTTTCACAGATGCTCCAATAATCCCTGTTAGATCTTAGCATGACTTCAGCATCTCCACCCAAACTTATTACAATCCTCCATGCTCTTGTCCAACTTAAGGCACCGCCAGCCCGCCCCATGCAGCGGTGATTTTGTAAGATTTTATTGTTTAACTCTTTCCTGTCCTTTTGAAACTTCCTACAGGGCTGGGTCTATAGTCACAACATTTTGGGAGTTTAAGACGCGA